GCACGAGGAGCGCGCCGGCGCCGCGCTGGCCGCCAGGTGCGTACGGCGGCGGACAGCGGCCGCCTGCCAGTAGGCTCATTGGTGTGTAGAGTTATGACCAGGGATGGGCAGCTATGGTTCTTTCTAAGTTTGACCCTCACTGTAAACATCTTTTTGAACACAGCACGAGAATTGCTACCTGAATTACTGAGAAAACTGGTTAGCGCACATGTAATGCAGACATCATAACATAAATCCTAAATAATCCGCCGGACATGTGGGCCCCTTTACACGTAGCTCGTATCACATTTTGGACGTGATGCGGCCGGGGGTGCGCCCTTGGCGCGTGCGAACGTGCGCCAATACATTGTAAACGGGAAAAACGCACTATTGCTCGGAAAACGGTAACGGTTACGGGGGTGAGATTTTCACGGAAAGTCGGACGCGTGCACTCATTAATTGTCGTATTAAATTCTCGAGGGTGTGGGTTCAGCGGTGTGCACGTGCTGCGGCCGCGACCGGCGCCGAGCAGAAGGCACGTGCTTTAGGCTGAGCTTGCAAAACTGAGCGAAATCAGAGCCGGGAGGTTATTGACCTTTGGCAATGAATACCGACGCCGGGCACCGCTCGCCAAGGGGATTCACCAATAAATAAAATTAATTTGTTTGTGCAATATCTCAGCCGTTTCTCGGCCGATTCGGTGGTAGTGTAGGGAAGGGAAGGGAAGGGAAGGGAAGGGAAGGGAAGGGAAGAGAAGGGTAGGGTAGGGTAGGGTAGGGTAGGGTAGGGTAGGGTAGGGTAGGGTAGGATTAGGAGTAGGAGTAGGAGTAGGAGTAGGAGTAGACGTAGGGGTAGGGTAGGGTAGGAGTAGGGTAGGGGTAGGGTAGGGGTAGGGGGTAGGTTTGAGTTAAAAAAGGGCCTTACATGCAAAAGACTTGAACACCCCGCAACTATCACTATGAGTATTATACCTTACAGTTTAATTAAAAACAGCTTCCCAAATCTACCCAAATAACACAGCTAAAAATACAAGTCACTCACCCAAACTAATGCACCCGTAGCAAAACATAAATCAAAACATACAGTTATCGCGTCAACCTGTACCTCAGTGAAAAATAATTTTCAGAATAAGTTTTTAACACCGATAATGTAGGGGAGAGTGGGGCACATTCGTGCAAAAAAAGGATAAATCCATGTATCTGTTCTTTGGTTGGTGCAATGACAAAACTGTTAATTGCAGTATGGAAAAAAACTATTGCAGATATTTTTCCTCTTTAAAAGTTATCCTCTAAAATTATCGCTTCTATTAGAAACAAAAAGACTTTTTGATAACTCTGAACGTTTGCACGAACCTGTCCCAGGTATGGGGCACATTCGTGCAAGGGATGGGGCACTTTCGTGCACCCTGCAAAATTCGAGGAATTACCGGGCATTACCAAAAATTTACCAAAAGAAATTGGCAAGGGGTCATTTCACTTCATTCCTTTCGACAAGAATGCATTGCACAACATATGTAGAAGGAATGGGCTGGCAAACAAGAATGTGCCAACTGCCAGTGCCGGCCATCGGCCCGCCCCCGTGACCTCGGCAAGGTCACGTGAATTACTTGTCACGACGTCGCAAGCAGCCGAGACTGAGTCAGGCGAGCGTCAGAAGTGAAACCTACTCAGATAAAGTCATAAATCGCAAACCGAAAAAAAATATGCACGAATATGCCCTTAGGCCGTGCGTGCACGAACCTGCCCCACAACGTTATTTGTAATATATTTCAAAAAAATGTTGAAAAATGACACTTTTTCAACAAACAAGTTTGCAGCAGTTCCATGAATAGAGTTCAAGCTTCTTCGCCGCCAAATTTGAAAAGCTGAACCACATTTCCGAGTCAGAATCACGAAAATGGATGTTATGAGAAAAGTTTGGAAAGCGCACGAATATTGCAACTTTGCGTTTTTATCAAACATGACAGCAGGTACAGTGTTGTTATCTATAGTACACGAGGGGCGGCAAGGATAGGTACACATATTTTCATAATTTGCCTTGAGCTCGTGCAGTCACTCGTTTTCCCATGAACTGCTGAAAACGAAATGCCCCATGCACGAAAGTGTCCCACTCTCCCCTACTGCTATGTTAAACGTAATACAATTGGTTAATTAGTTTGGTATGGTTTGGTTATAATTCCTATAAGTCTTCTATCCCTGTGGGGCTGTAAATACGAGCTGCGAGTTTGGGAAATAGGAGCCAATTAGAAATAATTCTGATGAAATTGATCGTCTGTGAAATCAATGTGTGCTCACTAGTTTTCTAAGTAATTCAGCTAGCAATTCTCGTGGTTTGTTCGAAGAGACGTTTACAGTGAGGGTCAAACCAAAGGGAGGCAGTCGCCGTAGCCGTATGCGGGCCCTACGGGCCAGGATGTCTAACGATTTCGGCCATGTTGTGTATACCGAAGTCTTGAAAAGTTGATCGCTGCAATCAAACTGCAAGCATGAAGCAGCAGCACTTCTGAGAAGTGTACCTCTCACTAAACTGCACCTCTGCTACCGTAATGCAATCTATATTTCTGGTATACACAACATGGCGGAAATTGATAGACAAAAACAAGCCACCAATGGTCCTTCCAGTACCTATATATTAGAGTTCAGTGGGTCAAACTTAAAATAAACGAACTATTTACCTTAAGCATTTACCTTAAGTAAGGGTCATTAGATACCCTTTCGAGTAATAAGACCCTTTACTCAAGAGGCGCCTTCTCCTCTTCTTATGAAGACAAGTTGGCTACCATGCTTGTTGTCGCCATAAAATGACGACCACTGTTGTTAGTGACAGTAGCTACTGTTTTTTATACGATGAGTAGCCACTCTTGAGCATTAGTTAGAGAAGTTGTAGTTAAACTTGTCGGGGTGGTCCTTCCATTCTTTCCCAAGTCTGAACTTAAAAACATCGACATTTGGTGCTTCAATAGTGTTCCTGGATAGCTTGTTCCACGCCTGAGTCACTCGTGCCTCGAAGAAGGCTTTCCTAGGTCCCAACTGATGCTGAACCTGCAGCTTTTGACCGTGACTTCGGGTGGTACGGCTAAGGGAGTTCTTGAACATGCCGTTGCTAACACACGAGCACTCTCTTTGGTAGTTCACCATGTCGAAGCCTTTTAAGATTTTGAATGTCTCGATAATATCTGATCTTTTCCTTCGGAATTCCAGGGTAGGCAAATTGAGGCTTCTGAGACGATCTGAGTATGACAGGTGAGACAGCCCCTTCACCAGTCTGGCTGTCTCGTTGCCTGCCATTGCACCTGCTCGAGTGCGTCTTTATCCTTCTTAAATTTGGGGCTCCATATGACAGCGGCATACTCAAGATGGGGTCGCACGATGCTCTTGTACAAGTCTTGAAAGACATCACTGTCAATGTTTGCAAAGGTATGTTTGATGACTCCGAGAATTCTATTGGCCTTGTTAACCTGGTATATGACATGTTTTGAGAATAGTCACTATAGTCAGTTTTTTTATTTATCTGGGCACACTGTTGCCTTGAAATGCCCAGTCCAAGTGGAAAAAGCTCATATAGGTATGATTTTTTTTTATAAACATGCTCAACAAAGTTGTCATTTCAAAACCAAGCATGCAAAATCAAGTGAGCGTTGTATTGGTCTAGTAAATGGTAAAAAGTGCCTTCGTTCATCACCTAAGACTTGCTGTGGAAAAATTGTCATACTGATATGATGGATCACGTACTTATGAATAATTTTTATCTCATATCAAAATGAAATTGTTTAAACTTCAATTTACAGTGTTATATTGCATCACTGCTTAACACCACTTATACTAGTAAGAGGATTCTTGCTCACTTTATGTTTTTGCATCACTTTTTACATTGTGAATTGTGATCGAATGCAACCAATGCTGAAAGTATCTGTTGTGGTGCTGAGGATGCCGCTATGCGCGGATGAGAGTAGGTGTAATGTTTAACACCCCCCCCCCCCACCGAAGACTGCTTCGGTTGTTCTAGAAAAACACAATTCTAACGAACAGTGTTTGTCTATTTCAAACAGGCTGCGGTTGCAATTATATTCTTGCTACAACCAGTATAACGCCTTTTGGGGCGACTAACGGAGCGAGCGAGAGGGTGGGCCTTGCACGTGCGAAAGTTCGAGGGGGTACCTCGAACTGACTTGTGCACGGCACCAGGGTTGTGCTCGACTCAAAAAAATTTGCCGACTCGACTCATCATTCAACTTCAGAAAGCCCTGACTCAACTCTGACTCAAACAAGGAGCTGAATTTTTCCCTTGACTCGACTCATGAAGTCATGAGTGAGTCCTCAGGCGGCTCAATGAAAATATGAGTCGACTCAGACTTGACTCAAATTTTTTGTTGAGTCAAGTGAGTTGACTCAAATTGACTCAGATAAAAGAGTTGTTGAGCGGGGGGGGGGGTGAAAAATCCGGTAGCAAGGCCAGGGCTAAGTTGTTTAGCGGTGGGGGGGGGGGATGAAAGCTTTTTTCTAGAAAGTTGAGTAAGCTGACTCATGTTCCTAAATGTTTGACTCAACTCAATGTCAAAAGTGATTTTACTGACTCAACTCTGACTCAACTCAATGCCTTAATATTTGTTTGCGACTCAACTCTGACTCAACTCAACAGCTCAACATTTTATCCGACTCGACTCAAATCTGACTCATTTGAGTCAGAGTTGAGTCAAAGTTCTGACTCGACTCATGAGTCAAGCACAGCCCTGCACGGCACCCTACTAACCGGTCTCTAGCGATGTGCCAAATTTGAACACAATCGGCCCAGCCGTTCTCGAGATCTGGGAGCGGCACCCTGCACGTGCGCTAGTGCAGAAAGGGTCCCAACTGACTTGTGCACGGCACCCTACTAACTGGTCCCTAACCGTGTACCAAATTTGAGCGCCATCGGTCCAGCCGTTCTCGAGATCTGGAAACGACCCCTGCACGTGCGCACGTGCAGCAGCACCCCAACTCTGGCACATGGATATGCAGTGCCTAGTGGGTGCCTACCTACATGCCAACTTTCAGCGCAATCGGCCAAGTAGTTACCGAGATATTGCAACAATTACAAAACTGACACCTCTTCGTTTTGCACGTGGCACGTGCATAAGGGGTCACTTACATGCATCGGGAATAGTCCAATACTTGGTAGAAGGAATGAAGCTACCCTACAAAAATTACCGCGTGTAAATCGGTCAAGTGGTTGCTGAGATATAAGCCTCGCAAAAGCGTCCGCACGGCCGGCCGGCCGGCCGCTCATACTCAGAAATTTCCGTTAAACTAAGGAAAGACTACGCTCGCTTCCCCCCTGACCCCCCTGAGGTTTTTCGTGAATAAGCGGAAAAACCGCGGTGCGTAGCGCCGCGAAATTCGGCATGACTGTTCTCTCATCAATTTTACATATGGTGTGCAAGTTTGAACCTCAGGTCACCAGGTCACTTCGAATGACCCAACCTCAAGTCACTTTTTTGCAACTTTGCCACAGTGTCAGAGCTACAGTAGGTGACGGAGGCCTTTGAAAGTCGCAGGATGTTATTAGGTCATTGGTAGCTACAATTTGTAGGTACATCTCAGAATTTCGATATCGATGACCTAAGGTCAGGTCAATTTCTTGACCTCCCCATTATAAGTCAATGGGGGGAAAATCAACTCCCTGTTTTTTTTTTCACTAAAACGCGTCGGAATGGCCCCATATACCATACATGACTTCATATACAATCAACCTTCACTACTTTGAGGCCTGGTTTGCTGTTGGCCAGCTGTAAGGTCATGTGACGTCATCAAAGGTCACCAACGGTTTTTTGCCAATTACTCCTTACAGGAACGAGATACAGCCGCGCAGATGGTCTCATTGTGTTCAGCTCGTCAAGGCGCATCTAATGATATACATGATGACCTCGAGGTCATGGACCTGAGGTCAACCTTTGACCTTGACCTTTTGAGGTCAACATATACATGATTCGTTGCGGATTGACAAGAGGATCACGATGATGCCCTTGGTTTGTTCCTAGCTTGACTAATTCGAACGTTATTCGAGAAAAACTATCCATATACAGCGCTGTCTTTTGACTTTTTTACCCCTGTGACGTCATCTTTAACCTGACCTGAAAATGACCTTAGTAAAAATTGTAGACCTTGTCCGTGCGTACCCCATGCCGTTTACCACTTGTCGCTATCTTGCTTCGTTCTCGAGATCTCAGGGGGGGGGCGGTCATCCGCCCCCCCCCCGTCGGTTGTAAGTTGGCGCAGACCCCCGTCGGTGCGCGGGTTAAAATGGCACATGCTTGTATTCGCAAAAAAAAAATATGACAAAACAGACAGCAAGTGCCACATGGCATGTAAACCCTTTGGTCAGTCGCGGCAGCTCCTAAAAGCAGATACTCAATGTGAGTGGCCTTCCGGCGGATCAGCTCCAGCACTAGCACGGTCTGCAGGTGACTGATGGTCATGTTGACCATCTCGGAGGACAGGCAGACAACTTTCCAACGACGCATTACAGTGCCCAGGGCACTGACAGTGCCCATGAGCTTTGCCAAATCTTGCACTGTAAGCACATAAAGTTGGAAAAATCGGCACGTCCGTTAATGAATGCGACTTAATTTCCGTAGTATCTTTTTCTGGACACCCTGTATCACCTGGTTCGAGAATGAAAAAAATGGCCAGCTGTGAATGGAATCAGCATTAAATATTCGCATGCGGCATGCTTTTCCATCCCCAGCAAATCAGTCTTATAGTGACCTTCTACCGACCATTTTAGATCAGATTACGATGACAGAAGCAATAGATAGTTTTATCTTCAATGGACAGCTTGCCCTGCAGTACCAGGTCGGCTCACTCCTGCGATATTGGCAGGAGTGATCGGCAGGAGTGATATTATATCGGCAATGCAGAATGGGTATGCATTGATGCAATATCGTCATCAGTAATCAGATCATTGATGCCTCTCTTCGTTATTTCATTTTCATTGGCCTAGTTTGTCCGATTGTCATAAGGGCATTCCGGAAGTCATCCCATTGAATGAGCTCTTACAAAAAATTGCAATATGGAGATAGATAAATGGTGAGCATCAGCGAAAATAATAGAAAGCAAGTCTCTGTCTCGTATATGTCCTGTCCGTGGTCTCTGCCGATCCCGCGTCTGTCTGACGGTCCCGCGTCTGTCTGGACGTGGCGGGCAGGCCGCCGCCCAGTCTGGCCGAGGTCGAGGCGCTGCTGCGAGACGCCGACAAGGTACCGGCCGCGCTGCCCACCGTGCAGGCGCTGCGAGACGCCGCCACAAAGGCCCACGACTGGATGGAGCGCGCGGCGGCCATCACCGAGCGCAGCCAGCACCCGCGCCTCGAGGTCAGTCCCGGCCGAGGCAGGCCACACGCGGGCCGCGCCCATACGCCGGGCCAGGGCTGTCCCGCGGCCGCCACGCGCAGCACTGGGGGTACTTGTGGGGCGGTCTGTAGTTTAATTGTTTTCCATTCACATACATTTTGAGCAATAGCCCGTGATCGAGTGGTCGTTGCACTGTGTTATACTTAACCCGCGCCCCAGTGGCGGTCTCAGCCAACTTCGCCCTAGTGGGGGGGGGGGGGCATATGTTACCACCCACCTCTAACTCAAAAACTAAGAGGGCTAGAAAGACGCAGTAAAAAGCAGTCGATAGCTCTCAATGCGTACGTTTGAAAGTATTTTAGTCATTTTTCATCTCAGAGCAATATTGGGGTCACCAGAGGTCATCAAAGGTCAAAAATTGCCAATGGTCATTATATTTTTCCGAAAACATGCCGTTATCTCAGGAACTATGGTAGCTAGAAAAACGCATGTAACAGCAATCGATAGCTTTTGAACTCTTCTTTTGATAAGGTCATTATCAAAATTGACCTCAGAGGCCTCTTGCACCAAACTACCTAGCTAGGTAAAATCGAAAAACCGGTTTCAGAATAAGCTAATCTAACGGTGGTAAATTTGTTTGCAATAGCCCAATACATAGTCCTACATGTGCTTGCTAAATTTTGCACACAAATTGTTACATTTGAAACTTGGACTGGGTATACGATGTAAAATAATTCAAGCATTGGTGCAAGAGGATTTTGGTGCAAGAGGCCTCAGGTCAACGGTTTAGCCTCCAGAGGGCAAAAACTCCAAAAATAGCTGTTTTTACGAAAAGTGTTTTTCGACAATAACTTTCGACTACAAAAAGCCACGACATTTCTATTGCCAGAATCGTGTCCCTCTCGCCGAGACGCGTCGAATGAACTATAATTTGACCTTGAAAGGTCAACTTGAAAATTTGACCTCGGGTCAAGGTCATGACCTGACCGGAAAAGGTCATGTTGCATATCAGTCGATGCGTCTCAACAAGACAAACACAATGAGGCCATTCCCAGCGTTCTATCTCTTTCCAATCGCGAGTTATTGGCAAAAATCTGTTTGTAGCCTCAAATGACCTCGAATGACCTTTCTAGAGGCTATCAGCAAAAACGACACCTAGGCCATCACGGGTGGTCCAAATCACTGTGATTCTGAAATATTTGGACTGTTCCTATGCGTACACACGGATCTAGAGGCATTTTCATTTTTCTCCATTGACTTGTAATGGAAAGGTCACGCCTCTGACCTGACCTTAGGTCACGGATATAAAAAATCCGAGATATACAAATTGTAGGCGCCCATAACAGCATGCAATCCACCAAGTTTAAAACATTTCTGGCAAATGTTGCAGGCTGGACATGATTGCAAACTTTTTTAGGCTTGGTCAGTTAACTTGACCTGGTGCCCTGACCTGACATGACCTGGAGTCAAAAATTTCACACATTGTCCAAAATTGATGTACCAAAAGCTACCCAAAGCGGCGCGGCGCTACGCGCCGCGGTTTTTTATTCACACGCAAAAAAACGCGACAGGTTGGTAACATGTGCCCCCCACTGGGGCAAAGGTTCACTCTTCAAAACTAGCCAGGGATGATATCGTATAATTTATGTGGGATGCATACCAAGTTTAGGTCTCAAATGAAACGTTGGATATCACACGCTCTGGGATGGGAGGAAAATTATCAGGTCCAGCTCGGAGCATGCTCACCTATGACGTCATGAAAGGCCTGCGACGTGAATGTAATCGATCGCAAGGATTAAAGTATAGTTTGTTTTTAATCAATAGGAATCTGGCTCCAAGTATGTTTTCCAAATAAGCACGTGTTTTAGCCAGCGAAACGGGTAAAAACTGAACGAAAGAAAATCGGACGTTGACTAATTTTAACGAGTACCTAGTACACCGTACACCCAGTACACCTTTTTGCGGTAGCTTTTGACCATTGCACAGTGGCCCTTTTTCAGAATTAGCACGCATTAATTCCCACATTACCTGAAAGTGGTGCAAGACATCACCACGTGATCAAGGACGTATTCCCTGCCAATGCAAAGAGAAGAAAAGAAACGAACTGCCCAAGGAGATTCGGCCCAACAGCGACAGGCCGCTCGGCCCAAGATTTGGCGCACGTTCGCACGGCTCGCCCGCCGGCCCAAGCCGCTCCGAACGCAAGTGTGGCGAGCCCGCCAGCCGACCACGCTGCACTGACCGCCAGGACGCCCCAGGGCGTCACGTGACCGCATCTACAGCTGTTGCCAGCCACCGTTAGTCGGCCCCGGCCAGGCAGCAACTAAGGTCAGCGCGACGCGAACAATACAAACACATAGGCGCTTTTGACGTTAGATCTTAAGCCGACCACGGGACTTGTGCGGCTTGGACATCAAACGCGACAAGAAATCGGACAGTTTTTCTTGAGCACAGCGTTATGCCTACATGACATTTCAATAACTAAGCACATCTTATGGCAAAAGTCAAGCCACATTTAGGCGCACACCAGGTGACACCAGCTTCGAGCCAGGTCAATGAGCTTAGTCGTATCGAACAGGAGCCACAGCCACTCGCGGACTGAACTGGCTCACGTTATCCACCGTAGAAGCAAAATGGCGCAAAATGGCGCGATGCCCTTTGGTGGACATGGTCAGAAAAGATCGGCGATTCGGACGATGTATAATACGACATGTCCCAGCGTGTGCTACTTAACATAAAGGTTCATATGTTTGCCGCCATCTCCAGTTAATAATTGTCCTGTTATTGTGTCCACAATATTCGGCAAAAGTGGTCTATTTAAGCTTATACAATGAAAATTGTGGTTTCTAGGGCTTCTACGTAAACTCAGCTTCACAGCCATGCCACTAATTTTTAATATTTTCTCACCGAAAGCCTTACAAATTGATGCTCATCTCACCCTACTTTTTAGGGTCCGCCGGTGGTGTCCGCGCGCCTCTCGACAAACCTCGATTTTGCGGTCAGTTTTACCAAAGGTAATTATTTTTTAGGAGGTAAAAATGGCACCATCGGATAGTTTGGAATGTTTTGCACACGATTAGACTGCTTTTAACTCAAAAGAAGAGAAAAAATATTTTGAATTAATGCGTGCTAATTCTGAAAAAGGGCCACTGTGCATTGGGCAAAACGTTTGTACACATTCGATTCGCCATATAGGTGGCGCTGCAAATGGTCGCTTGGTCACAAAGAATCACCACTGTGCAAAACTGTTCGGCGATCTTCCTCTAGAACTCGACATTGAACGAATGGTTCAACATTGTGCAAAACAAATCGTCAATGGTCGAAACTACATACATAGTCGTCATATGCCGAGCTGGCTCCCTCTATGCCGAAGTCCCTCTATGCGAACTGTTGAACTGTTTTGCAGATCGCTCATTTCAGTGTTCAATCTGTTTTGCTGAATGGCTGAAATGAAACACACCACGCCGGAATAGTTGTGCTCAATGCCGATTCTCGAAATGGCTCCTCAAACAGTTATGGCGAATGGTTGAATTCAAATGCAGCTCCTACCTCCACAACCGATCAGTCTGTGACGCAACCTGCCATTTGATCATTGGCTGTTACCGAATGACCCGGCACCGCTAGGTCACCTGGCTAGGCAAGTCGCAGTAGGAGTCGGCCGGTGAGACAGATTCATGATCGCAAGCTTACCCCGGATCACGGGACAATATGGGACAATACAGTTCAGTTCTGTTCGGTGCGGCGGCGGTGGTGACTGGTGTTAGTGGGTGTCTAAAAAAAATCAAAATCGTAAAATGCCCCCGGAACTGCCCCTCCTCTGGATCCGCCAGTGATCGTCACATTATCTACAAGCTTGTTCGTGCATTATTTAACGTCTTTCTGGGATATCTCCTCGATGATCGCATGCTTCGAATTTCCTCAATGCTCTGCTGGTCGGACGGGGTTGGGACGAGGGCTCTGCTGGTCGGACGGGGTTGGGACGAGGGCTCTGCTGGTCTGATGGGTGGGGGTGGGGGCTCTGATGTGTGGGGTTGGGGGCTCTGCTGGTCCGGCTGACGGGAGCTGTGCTCTGTGGGTCTGACAGGTGGGCGTGTTTTGCAGGCGGTTGAGGCGCTGGTAGCTCGCGGACAGCCGATCCCGATCCTGCTGCCCGACCTGGTGCGCCTCGAGACACTGGCCAACAGCGCCAAGGCGTGGCGCGAGCGCACCAGCCGCGCGTTCCGACGCAACTCGCTCTCGCTGCTGGAGGTACGGCCCGGGGGCTGTGGAGGGTGTGGGCCGGGCCCGCCGCGTGTCGTAACTGAGCTGAGCTGAGCGGAGCTGGTGCGCGCCCTCAGGTGCTGACGCCGCGGACGGAGGTGGGCGTGTACCCGGGCGGCGGCCGGCGCCGGCGGCGACCGGGCCCGCCGGCGGCTGAGGGCGGCTCCGAGGCTCAGGTGGTGGACGCCTACCGGGTGAGTGACGGTCGCGCTCACCAGCGCGCCGGCGCATGGCTACCGGAGCACCGACGACCACCATCGCTGGCTCGTCAAGGCTCGATGTGGGCCCATCCGTTGTGGCACTGGCGTGGATGCCAAAGGACACCCACGTTCGTGGATGCTCCTAATACACGATCTTGATCTTGATCAGGGGTGACTGAGGTCCATCAGGGATCGTGGGACCCATCAGGGACCCTGGTATCCAGGCTCGTCTGAGGCCCACCAGCAGGGTTGTTGGAAAAAAAGTTGGAAAAGTATGCGGGCTCATGACTGCTGTGATGCTATGCTCTGTTCTGATTCCAACGATGCCCCTTTTAGCGAAAAAATGTTGACTGCTTAACCCTCGCCCTGGCAGGGTGTTTTTCATAACACGGCCTGGCAGGGGGGGGGGTCGATGCGACCCCCCTCGCGATTGGCTCCTATTGCACCTAGAAAAAACAAATTTGGTAGGTAGGTGGGCCCCCTGGAGTTCTCGCCCTTGTGCAAATTTGGTTGCTCTAGATCAATATTTAGGGGGGTTTGGGGGGATATGAATGTAAAAAGTTTCGCTAAAAACAGATCAAGAGTTTTTCGCTTATAACTTTTGATCTAATTAAGATAGAGCAAAAAGAAAAGCACCAGTGAACTCAGCACGTCAAGGCGCGTCGAATGGTTTGCTTTTTTGCTTGCTTAAGTGTACTTAAAAAGTTAAGCACATCTTAAGTACTACTTAAGTCTTAAGAATGGTCGAAATACTTAATGTTGCATATCATTCGACTCGGCTCTCCGAGAGGAACAGAATGATACCATTTTGAAAGCTAGGGCATTCCACGATAGATCGTACCACTTTTTTCCAATTTGACACCCTAATCTCTTGGAATTTGACGAGAATTGGTATCAGGGGTAATCACTTAATCAGGGGCTCTGAATCCTCCTGTAACAGTTTCACGCTTATCAGATAATTATTTTTTTGAGTTATGATGTATAGCATTTTTTGGATCTTGCCTTGCAGCGCTAAGTTTGGCGGGCTGTAACTCTGAGACGGATTATTCAAATGCCAAATGTTATATAACATTGAACTTGCAATGAAACAGAGATTAATATGTGCTTTTGAAATTTCGAAAAATACGCTATTTTTGATATATAACATATCGAGTTTTCTTTCATTCGTATTTTTTGGACTTTGGGACCAATTTTTTTCTGATTTTTTATTTCTTAAAAAATATTTTGCTCATTGTTAAGAAGTATGCAAAAAATTAGGAAGGTGTTCTTTCTATAAATGTATTTATTTTACGTCACGATAACTGTTTCGAATAGTGAGGGGAGGAGGAGGAGGGAATTTCGGGAGGGGAGCTTACAACTGCCGTGGTAAGGCTGCCTAGTGACATCACGGGTTACTGAAATTTCAATTGAAGTCTGAGTCATCTGAAAAAAAAATGAAAAGAGGGTTTATCCAACCCTCTTTCCTGTAAGCGCGAGAGTGAAAAAGGCTGTTTGGTTCTGACATTGTTTTGGACGCCAATGACCATAGCTGTCCGAGATAAAAGTTACAGGACGCATACATGGTGTCCTCAAGAGGTCTCACAACATGCATATCTGGGAGTTTTTAAGGTCACATGAGGTCAGGTCGGTCACGTGACATCACTGTTTAAGTCAATGGGGAAATATAAAAACTGTTATTTTGGCGCCGAGAATGATCTAAAACTATCTCACGTACATGTTACCGTGATTTCATGCACTCCTTGCGAAGTCCAATGCTTCACTTTTGCATTGTTAACCATGCGTGACGTCATTTATGACGTCACTAGGGTCGTACGAGTTTTTCGTCAATAACTTCCGATCAAATTGAGCTAGTGAGTCGAGACAGCCACTAATGGACTCGGGAAGACATTCCGAATCGAAAGATATGCCATATGATACCCTTTGCCCAGCTTCGTGACCTGAGGGGCTCTGACCTGACCTTGACCCGAGGTCAACTACTTAAGTTGACCTCACCCTAACAAAAAGTATACCATTCGATGCACCTGAGCTAGGCGAACACAATGATGCCAAAATCGCGGCTCTGCGGCCATTTCTTGCGAAGTTATTTACTAAAAACCGAACCCGTAACTTCAGTCACTTGACCTGACCTCAGACGCTACCGGTTAACCTGAGACCTTAAAATTGGGTACCAATCGTTGCGACTTGTAACGGCACACACGCTCGTTTTTTCCGCGAGGCTCTAGCTCTATTAGAAGCGAAACGGCGTGCTGGGGTCGTATCAACCCCTCCGAAACCCATTTTGTTTGCGGGAAAATGAGGAAGTTATAAAAAGAACACCTTTTTTTATTTTGGGCATGTCGATTTGCGATGACATGAAGTTTATTTTGAAAAAATAGATATGTGAAAAATTTTGGTCCCAAAAGTCATTAGAGGCAAACGAAAAAGATAAGGTTTTTGTTCAACAATGAAAATTTTTCTTTGGAATTTTTAAAAAGTAATATTAATTTTTGATTCATCGCAAGCTTAGTGTTGTTTACCGTTTGTTGGTTGCTTAACCCGTTCATGAGTCATAGGCCATCAAACTCACCGTTACAAACCGAAGTTTAATAAAATGTAATGCAATATAATTCAAAAAGTTTTGATCTGAGAAGTTTGATATTTTGCCAGGCGTCTTTGGGGCCTATGATTACCCCTAGGACGGATTTTCATTAAAATCTGAGAGATGAGGGTGACGGGCCTGGTACGATCTATCGTGGAATGCACCAGCTGTATCTTTATTATGTGACAAGTTATTGGCACAAACGTCATTTGACCTCAGTTGACCTCATTTGACGACCCATGGATACCTACACCAAACAAAGAAGCACCAAGTGCCATAATGTTAAGTACTGAGGTTTCAAAGGACAAAAGTGATAGAACGAAGCGGATATCTCCAGTATTTTCCGAATTGAATATTTTCCCATATGCTTAACATTACGACGTAATGACCTCTAACTGACCTCAGGTCAGTGACATAAAAAAAACTATATGTTATAGGGGAAGATGGGGAACACCGCCCTTTAGGGAACACCGCCTACCCCCATATCAGAAATATAAAAAGGTCTAGGGCGACAGCTGACTGTCTTTTGGCAGCGTAACGACAACAGAAGTGCAGGTATGGGCAGTGCACCGCATTGGTTTAGGTGATTTGCTAGAAATTCCGAATTTTACGTTTCGTGAATACGTTTATACTTTTTCTAGCATAATAAGCAGAAGAAAACTTATCTTATTTGACAAACATAAGTACTGAAGTAGTATTATTTGCCATAATTAGGACTCATCCAAGCATTACGTGCCCCTGCTCGAACGAAATTTTTGTCGTGTTGCCATGTTGAAGGATTTTTTAAAGAAAAATGCAGACACTTGGGTAACACCGCCCACTTGGATTTTTTTTTTATTTAATAGCACATTGTGACACAACCCAGGAGTGGCGCATTTCAAATGAAGAAAGATCGTTGTTGCTATGTTTTCTTTTTAGAGGATAATGAAAAAATTCGAGAGAATGCAATTTTGTGACTTAATGTCGACTAATTATATAAATGAGTACTAAATTGTGCCTGCATAGGCGGCGGAACGGGGAGGGCACATGGGCACCGTGCCCCCTTTAATTTTGGCATTTAAACATTAGCCCTATGGGCGTTGCATGGAAAGAATGGGACCAAAAGTCGGCACTGCCCCCCCCCCCCCTTAATTATTATTATTATTATTATTATTATTATTATTATTATTATTATTATTATTATGTCAAACATCCACCAACCACAGAACAGTGGGCATTACGGTGGCATAGCACAAACAGACGCACACATGCATACAATTACACACATATTCATATATGAACACTTAATCGACTAACACAATATTCGGCGCAGTGTGAAGCAATCCATACGCGAAGATATAAATAACCATGTGTCCCATGTATGACAGTTAAACTGTGTGCTCCTTTATTTGAAGATATTTAATCAATTCCTTTTTAGATGCACTTCTTATCTGTGTCGGCAAACTGTTCCACAATTTTGAATTCCCCAATTTTGAATTGAAGGTGTTACGCCGCTACTGTGTACCAGGGGTATAATAAAATCGTTTCCGCTGTATTTTATAAATATACTAAAACGTCTCAAAATTTACAATAAGAAGAACAGCTTCCAGCAATCTGCAAATCTCGTTGCCTGCTGAGCTCGGGCGGTGTTACCCAACGGTCGGTGTTACCCCGAAAAATGTAGACATTTACTAAATGTGGAATAATGCAATAATGAACGATACTACAAGAAAACAGTTGGTTGATATGTATGTAAAATTGATGCGACAATCCAATGAAACTGAGAGTTTGATCATTTGACCAAAAATTACGTGACTAGACCCTAAAAGGTTAAGGGGTCGGTGTTCCCCCGTCTTCCCCTACAACTCGGTGAACTTAGCACATCCTGAAAGTTTGAAGGAAATCAGTTCAAAACTGTGAATTGAACAGGTGCATAAAGAAAATTGAAATTTGACCATGACCTTGTACCGGTTTTTCTGACCTGGTGACCTGACCCAAGGTCACCCGGACCTGAAATTTTCAGGTCATATGGAAAAATGCTGCCCTATAAGCTGTGCCAAATTTGGCGGGGCTGGGCGCCGCCGTTTTTACGCTATCACCTTGGGGGGGGGGGTTGCATCGACCCCCCCTGCCAGGGTGAGGGTTAACCCGCGCCCCGCTGGGCTATTCAGCCATACGCGCCCTGCTGGGAGGGGGGGGGGGCAGATTCTGCCCCCTGTCCGAACTTTCGAAAAAAAAATCATGTCCTAACTTCCGATGGTCGTAGAAAGACGGGGAAAACGGCAATCGAAAGCTCTCAACAAGGCAGATCTTAAGAGCCCAAATTTTTTTGCTTAAGTAGGTCAGAGGTCAGGTCAAGGTCAGGTCAAGGGTATGAAATGCAAGTTTCTACAATATCGGCCTTGCACCGTAGTTGCCGAAGAATGGACTGAGAATGATTGCCCAAAACGTGTTCTTAGACTACCAAGACAATATTCGTTGCATACAATGTCATTCAAAGGTCAAGGTCAGGTCAGGTCAGGTCACCAAAAACAAAATATAGGAAAGGGCATGTGCGACACATGTTTTATGGGTCATTTTACTCATAGAATTCAATAGGCACACTCACTAAGTGATATGGACCACCTCTGGATGAATTTCAGGTCGAGGTCAGGTCAAGGTCAGGTCAAGTGAGGTCAAATTTTAAAGTTGGTTGTTAAGGCCTAAAAATGTGTCTATCTGATGCAGTTTTTCACGGCGAATCGAATGGTGCTATTTTGTTTCCGTACCAAGTCTAAAACTTCCAAAAAAATCATTTTTTTTCCAAATTTGTGTGTGTCGTTACGTCATAAAATTTTGAATAACTCCCACATTTTTCAACAAATTCTTCTAAAAATTGGTATGTAGGTGCACATAGACCACTTCTCTGACATATATTCCGTTTTTTCGATATATCCAAAATTTTGGATTTTATAATTATTTTCCCAAAAAAAGTCAGTTTTTTTTAGAAAAAATCTCAACGGGGCGCGGGATAAAGCTGATGAGGAGCCTGATTCAAATTTACAGGTCTCGCGGGTTTTAACGGTAGGTTTTGCACCTGGAAAATTTAGTTTACTTCAGGCTATATCTTCGTCGCCTTAAGCTTTTAAGTGTTGAAGATGCGATCGACTTGTTGGTTCACAAACCGGCCATGGTCGTGTAAAATGGCTTCATCGTAGATCGATTAGTTTCTGAGATATAACCGGAAATGTAAAAGTGCAAAACCTACCGTTTAATCTCGCGAGAGCCGTACGGCATGGCTGTATAGCAGTGGTCGCCAGGTCCCTCGGGGCCGTGCCCCCTTTTCGGACGCCAGGCAGGGCCATTACCCCCACCTACCAGACACGATTGCCTACGCAGCCAAGTTAACTGAAAAGTCACATACCCTTCCGCGATTCTTTGGGTATTATGGGTATTATATAAAAAGCGTCGGATCACGACAAAATTGTACCCTCGAGCCGATCATCTTTTTTTTTTTACCTGCCCTAAAACATTTCATGACCTTGACACAAATAACCGTTGACTTGTTAGTTCTTTCTTGGGATCATGGTAGGCCACAAAATCTGAATTCAAGAAGTTATGGAGGGTCCCGATCTTTTCGACAATTGACATTGACCTCTTGAAAGTCACCCAATGGCCATGAAACTTAAAATTGGGTAGTAGCGGCTTCCTGTCGTCACGGGTGGCGCGCTCGTTTTTTACTGCAAAGCTCCAGCTCAGAGGCCGAGAGGCTGGGGTCCGATCGGCCCCTCCCTCTTTACGTTAGATGCTATGAAAACGCCAATAGACGGGCGGCGGCTAGCGTTCGCCCTGGACTTATCTTTGAAGTCTGAGGCCAAACAGTCGTGATGCCTGTCCCACCAAGGAAGCCATTAATTCTAAGAAGAGGCTTTCTCAGAGACCCTCATTACCTCCGGCCGAGGGCTCCATTACCTCCAAAGGGGGCATGCCCCACCATTTGCCGACCCCTGCTGTATAGTGTACAGTGCAAGATGTGGATGTGCAGGATGGGACTGTACAGGATAGCGCGTTTTTGTGCAATATTTTTCGAATTTCGAGGGACTGAACTGATAACAAAGTTTTCAAGCTACTATGCCGTTTTATAATAGACAACAAAGCGTTCAAGCTACTACGGTATCGCTTTTATAACATACGGAAAGGCTTCTTCAGGCTCATGATAATGATAAATTGATGAAAGAAAAAAATATATATTATGTGTAATCTGAAAAGGAAAGATATTTTTCTACTATACATTATACTTCATACTGTATTCGTTTACTATGAGGCTTTGCCTTTCTTTCATCAATGTGCTAATCATGTATTTTGTCGAAAAAGGAATGCAATGAGCGCAGCAGTGCAGTGGTGGCCGGTGGGCAGTAAGTGCCCGGTGCGGTGGCGGGTGGCCCGTCCTGCCCCACGTCACGCGTGAGTCCGCCCGTCCATGGGCGGCCCGTCCTCCCCCACGTCACGCGTGTGTCCGCCCGTCCGTGCTCTCAGGAGGCTGAGCGCCGCGAGCTGGAGCTGATTCGCCAGCACCGCGCCGCCAACCTGCAGAAGCGGCAAACGGACGGCAACAGCGGCACCTACTGCGTCTGCCAGCAGCGGCCGCGGGCCGCCATGCTGCAGTGCCAGCTGTGCTGCGACTATTTCCACAGTGAGTGCGCCCCGCGCCCGGCCGGCGCCGGTGTGTGGCTCGCTCTCGTGTGGCGCCATCGGTGCTCAGTTACCGGGGTTACATGAGCGATCCGTTCCAAATACGCACTACGCTAATGCGCATCAGCTCCCCACAAACGGATCTACGGCACCGGTTACATGAGACTAATTCGTTTTATCTACGTCAAACGGATCTTGTTTGGCTCACCCGGGCTGACTCCTCGACGGCCGGTAATTCGCATCACAAACGGAATAGGATTAGCGTACAGTCATGGCGCAGTTGCGGCATTTACCGGGACGACTGAGCTAAATTTTAAATACTTATATCATTTGATAGGCTCAAAAACATTTAAAATTAACATGAAATCAAAAAATGAAAACAAAGTTTTCTTGTTTTAAGACAGTGGGCACTGATTCGCCATGCAGCGACAGCAGGGTGGTCAGAAAAAATTATCTATCAAAATATTTCATTCATTTTATTTCACATGCAAAGACTAAACCAAAATACCAACATTTTCTTGCTATTTTCTACGAGGCAGCCAATAAAAAAAAAATGCTTAGTATTTTGCATTTTGACGCTTCCAGTCAGCAAAGAATAGTTCTTGTGAAATACGGCCCGAATCGTGTGCCTCGGACGTTTCGGTTACATGAGCGATCCGTTCCAAATACGCACTACGCTAATTCGCATCAGCTCCCCAAGAACGCATTCAGTGCACCGACTAGGGGAGAGTGGGGTAATTTGGCCGGTGGTGTAAATTGGCCGCCCCCACCTGTACGATGCCTAATAAAAGTGAGTGAAATAACTCTAGTCTCTATTCATTTGTCATGGGTAGAAATAACTGGAGGACAAATGTCAAAACTTTGCCCCTCGTAGTTTTATTCAAAATTAATAAAACGTTAATTTCATTAGAAAATGGTAACTTTTACTTCTGTTTAAAAAGTTGTATAACATGTAGTATTTGGGCTAAAAACGAATTCAGACATTATAGCGCCATTCTTGGGGGTGTTCAGCGGTTCCAAGAGCAATTTTATCTAATTCCGTATAGCCGTGATGACTTTATAAACAAAAATTTTCAGAATGGCAATATGGGGTAATTTGGCCGGGACTAGCGGGGCAACTTGGCCGGTGCGCTCATGGTCACTATGCTGGGACGGCCGAGTTTTCATGGTCAATTGTACCATAAATGACATGATTCATGACCAACTTTGACCACTTTGATGCCTTACTTTCGATTGGTCAACTGTAAGAGCATGTGACGTCATCAAAGGTTACCAAACTTTTTTTGCTAATAAATCCTGACATAAAAATGGTACAGCCGCACAAATGGTCTCATTCTGTTCAGCTCGCCAAGGCGCATCGAATGACATGCATGATGACCTTGAAATCACGTGACCTTGAGGTCAAGCGACCTGATGCAACGTGACCTGAGGTCAACCTTTGACCTTGACTTCTCAAGGTCAACTTATATATCTTTCGATGCGGACTGACGAGAGAATTACGATGGTACTCGAAGTTTTGGCCTAGCTTGATTACTTCAAAAGTTATTCGCAAAAAACTGTGATCGCATCTAGAGCCGCTAATTTGGCTATTTTGACCCCTGTGACCCCTGAGTCAACCTCCAAAATGCGGCAAATGCGTCATAGGACACACGTCATTGCTGAATCTGAAGCTGACTCGCAATATAACAGAAAATCCCGACCGCAAACTAACACCGGCCAAATTGCCCCACACCCCCGGCCAAATAACCCTGCTAGTGGGGCAATTTGGCCGCCTTGCAGACCTTTGTAATACGTCACAATTTCAATATAAGTAATTCCTCTATCATTTCAAGTTCACTGTCCAGTAAAGTAAAATGAATGCGACACCTGCCAGCGTTGAGAAAATGCAGAAATGTGTCGTCAATTTTAAGTTATATCGTTTTCTAAAAAAAGCGGCCAAATTACCCCACTCTCCCCTACATGAGCAAATTCGTATCAGTGACGTCAAACGGATCTAGTTTGGCTCTCGGCCCGATGCGCATTACAAACGGAATAGCATACAAATGTGGCGCACTTCCGTAGCAATAGAGGTGACTAAATTAAAAATTTATTGTCTTATGTCTTTTTTGCATTTAATCTGCTCAAAACATTCTCAATTAGCTTAACAAAAAAAAGTTGAACATAAAGTTGTCTTGCTTTGACTCATTGGGCAATTGCCTCTCTTGATTCGTCTGTAGTGCTGTCAGAAAAATGTTTCAACTGAAATTATGTGGATATTTACTATTTGGTTTTCACTATATTTATTGTTGAAAACTTGACAAAATACCGACATATTTTTTAATATTATTTCAAAAGAAGAAAATGAAAAAATACCTATTATTTTGCATTTTAATGTTTCTTTTTGCGAAGAAATAGTTCCTGTAATACGTATCTTGGTCCTATTCGCTTCTAAGCCTCTTTCCCAGCGGATTTTGTTCGGACCGCCGATTCGTATTAGCAGGTGGATACATGAGTCGGTAATACGCTCCTGATTCGCATTAGCGGTGAATCCGATCGTGATACGTATTTGCTTTGCTCATGTAACCGCGGATCGGATCGCCGATTCGTACTAGCAGGTGGCTACATGAGTCGGTAATGCGTTCCTAATTCGAATTAGCGGCTAAATACGTATTTACTGTGCTCATGTAACCCCGATAAGTGAGGTGGCTCGCTCTCGTGTGGCGCCATTGGTGCTCAGTGAGCACCCTGGGCTCACCGCGTCTCCAGGGCGCACCCTGAACAGGCCGTGACACAGGACTGGACACTAGCTTTGGCTCAACTCCAGCTACAGGAAACGGCTATTACATGAAAGTTTTTTTCTTTTATTTCAGTCGATCCTCAATTGACGTGGCCAGGAAATTCGGATATGTATAAGATTGGCCCAGGCTTCTGTATGTACCGGGTGTCCACGTCAAAAGTGTACCCAGACTTTTCTCCGTATTTTATCTTAAAAACATCGCACTCACAAACAATTGCCCTCGTTTGAGAGCCAAGGCAATGGCAAAACAATTGCTATGCTTTTCAACTGTGTTCGGCACTCTGATGACCAACGCTTGCCGTCTAGAGCAACTGCTCTATATGAGCCGCTTTGCGTCGGGCCACCGCCGGCAGACGGACCGTGGCATGTGAAATCCCACAATGCCCCGTGCACTGGGGATCCCATTGCCTAGAAAAAGTTCAGACCATGCCTCTGCACAGCAAGAAAGTATCGGTTTGGGTGGCAATGAGGCATGGAGGGGGCATTATCGGCCCCTTCTTTTTCGAAGACGACAGGGGAGAGACAAACACAACACCGTAACGCTAGGAGGCCTCGGAGGCACTGGAACCATTCTGGCGAGAGCTGAAGCGGAGACGCGGGATCCGTCGCCATGAAGAATGGTTTCAACAAGACGGGGCGCCGCCTCACACCGCCAAACGGTCGCTGGAATTTCTGGAAGAGCACTTTCCTGACCGCCACATCAGCTTGAAAAGCGCGGTGGAATGGGCTCCACACTCGCCCGACCTCAGCCCTCTAGATTTCTTCTTGTGGGGCTTTCTCAAGGACTTGTGCATACGCTGGCAATCCAGGGTCGACCCAGGAGCTGAAAGACTTCATCATCGACGAGATCCGTCGCCTTCCTTCCCACATCGTTGACCAGGCGATCACCCACCTCCAGACGGTCCGTCTGCCGGCGGTGGCCCGACGCAAAGGGGCTCATATAGAGCATGGTTGCTCTAGACGGCACGCGCTGGTCAGCAGAGTGCCGAGCACAGTTGAAAAGCATAGCAAATGTTTTGCCATTGCCTTGGCTCTCAAACGAGGGCAATTGTTCGTGAGTGTGATGTTTTTAAGATAAGATATGGAGAAAAGTCTGGGTACACTTTTGACGTGGACACCCTGTAAACATTAGCCATCCCGCGTCACCACTCTCCAGGCTCGTGTGTGCACTGTATACATTGTCCGCCATGCGTCTCCAGGCTCCTGTATGTACTGCATAGTGCATACACTGTCCACCTCGCGTCTCCAGGCTCAGAGGCGGATCCAGCTCAGAGTTTTGGGGGGGGGGCAAACCATAGAAATTTATCGATTCTTTCCATGCATCGTCCATAGGCGTAATGTTAAAATCATGCCGTTTGGGGGGGGGGGCAAATGCCCATTTTGCCCCCCTGGATCCGCCACTGTCCAGGCTTCGATATGTACTGTGTACATTGTCCACCCCGCGTCTCCAGACCTCTGTATAAGGGGAGGTTGGGGTAATTTGGCCGTTTTTTTTTTTTTAGAAAACGAAGTAACATAAAATTGACGACGCATCTCTGCATTTTCTCAACGCTGGCAGGTGTCGCATTCATTTTACTTTACTGGACAGTTAACTTGAAATGATAGAGTAATTACTTATATTGTAATTGTGACGTATTACAAAGGTCTGCAAGGCGGCCAAATTGCCCCACTAGCAGGGTTATTTGGCCGGGGTGTGGAGCAATCTGGCCGGTGTTAGTTTGCGGTCGGGATTTTCTTTTATATTGCGAGTCAGCTTCAGATTCAGCAATGACGTGTGTCCTACGACGCATTTGACGCAAATTAGCGGCTCAAGATAGCCAAATTAGCTGCTCTAGATGTGAAGACAGGTTTCTACGAATAACTTTTGAAGAAATCAAGCTAGGCCAAAACATCGAATACTATCGTAATTTTCTCGTCAGTCCGCATCGAAACACATATGTGTTGACCTCGAGAAGTCAAGGTCAAAGGTTGACCTCGGGTCACGTTACCTCAGGTCGACCTCAGGTCATGTTACCTCAGGTCGCTTGACCTCAAGGTCACGTGATTACAAGGTCATCATGCATATCATTATATGTGCCCTGGCGAGCTGAACACAATAAGACCATTTGTGCTGCTGTATCGTTTTTATGCAAGGATTTATTAGCAAAAAACGTTTGGTAACTTTTGATGACGTCACATGCATGCCCTTACAGTTGACCAATATAAAATAAGGCATCAAAGTAGTCAAAGTTGGTCATGAGTCATTTCATTTATGGTATAATTGATCATGAAAACTCGGCCGTCCCAGCATAGTGACCATGAGCGCACCGGCCAAGTACCCCGCTAGTCCCGGCCAAATTACCCCATATTGCCATTTAAAGATTTTTGTCTATGAAGTCATCACGGCTATACGGAACTAGATGAAATTGCTCTTGGAACCGCTGAACACCCCCAAGAATGGCACTATAATGTCGGGAGTTCGTTTTTAGCCCAAATACTACATGTTATATACCTACCTAACTTTTTAAACAGAAGTAGGGGAGAGTGGGGTAATTTGGCCGGTGGTGTAAATTGGCCGCCCCCACCTGTACGGTCTCTAATAAAAGTGAGTGAAATAACTCTAGTCTCTATTCATTTGTCATGGGTAGAAATAACTGGAGGACAAATGCCAAAACTTTGCTCCTCGTAGTTTTATTCAAAATTAATAAAACGTTAATTTCATTACAAAATGGAAACTTTTGCTTCTATTTACAAAGTTGTATAACATTTGGGCTAAAAACGAATTCAGACATTATAGTGCAATTCTTGGGGGTGTTCAGCGGTTCCAAGAGCAATTTCATCTAATTCCGTATAGCCGTGATGACTTTATAGACAGAAATTTCAGAATGGCAATATGGGGTAATTTGGCCGGGACTAGCGGGGCAGCTTGGCCGGTGCGCTCATGGTCACTATGCTGGGACGGCCGAGTTTTCATGGTCAATTGTACCATAAATGACATGATTCATGACCAACTTTGACTACTTTGATGCCTTACTTCCGATTGGTCAATGTAAGAGCATGTGACGTCATCAAAGGTTACCAAACGTTTTTTGCTAATAAATCCTTACATAGAAATGGTACAGCCGCACAAATGGTCTCATTCTCTTCAGCTCGTCAATGCGCATCGAATAATATGCATGATGACCTTGAAATCACGTGACCTTGAGTTCAAGCGACCTGAGATAACGTGACCTGAGGTCAACCTTCGACCTTGACTTCTCGAGGTCAACGCATATATGTTTCGATGCGGACTGACGAGAGAATTACGATGGTACTCGAAGTTTTGGCCTACCTTGATTACTTCAAAAGTTATTCGTATAAAACTGTCTTCGCATCTAGAGCCGCTAATTTGGCAATTTTGACCCCTGTGACCCCTGAGTCAACCTCCAAAATGCGGCAAATGCGTCATGGACACACGTCATTGCTGAATCTGAAGCTGACTCGCAATATAACAGAAAATCCCGACCGCAAACTAACATCGGCCAAATTGCCCCACACCCCCGGCCAAAGAACCCTGCTAGTGGGGCAATTTGGCCGCCTTTTAGACCTTTGTGATACGTCACAATTTCAATATAAGTAGTTACTCTATCATTTCAAGTTCACTGTCCAGTAAAGTAAAATGAATGCGACACCTTCCAGCGTTGAGAATATGCAGAAATGTGTCGTCAATTTTAAGTTACATCGTTTTCTAAAAAAGTGGCCAAATTACCCCAACCTCCCCTAAAAGTTACCATTTTCTTATAGGATTAATGTTTTATTAATTTTGAATGAAACTACGAAGTACGAGGGGCAAAGTTTTGACATTTGTCCTCCAGTTAGTTCTACCCATGACAAAGTAATACAGACTAGAGTTATTTCACTCACTTTTATTAGACATCGTACAGGACGGGGCGGCCAATTTACACCACCGGCCAAATTACCCCAACCTCCCCTACTGTATGTATACCTACGTCCTACATTGTCCGCCGTGCGTCTGCAGGCTCGTGTGTGCCGCTCTCCAAGGGCGGCTCGAAGCGGTCGGGCGGCGCGGCGGCCTGTGAGCCGGCGGTGCGACTGAGTGCCGGCGGCCGGTTCCTGTGTCCGCTGTGCCGGCGCTCGCGGCGGCCGCGGCTCGAGACGGTGCTCAGCCTGCTGGTGGCGCTGCAGAAGCTGGTGGTGCGACTGCCCGAGGGCATAGCGCTCCAGTGTCTCACCGAGCGCGCCATGCGCTGGCAGGTGGGACTCGGCGCGGCGGCACCCTTCCTGGGGTGGGGCAGCGCTCTCTCTCTCTCTCTCTCTCTCTCTCTCTCTCTCTCTCTCTCTCTCTCTCTCTCTCTCTCTCTCTCTCTCTCTCTCTCTCTCTCTCTCTCTCTCTCTCTCTCTCTCTCCCCGCTGTTGTCACTGCGTGACACTGTGTCACTGTGTGATGCTCTGACGCGGTGTTATACCCTGTGTCACTGTGTCACGCTCTGTGGTACTGTGACGCGGTGTTATACCCTGTGTCACCGTGTGACACGCTCTGAGGTACTGTGACGCGGTGTTATACCCTGTGTCACCGTGTGACGCCGTCGGCAGGACCGGGCTCGTCAGCTGCTGGCCACTGACGAGGTAGCGGCCGCCCTGGCCAGCCCGGCGGCCCCACCGGGCACCTCCAGCCAGGTGCGTACGTGCTCCTGCTGGCCGCCACTACTATCTTCTGCTGATATCTTCTGCGCTGTGGTGCCCTCTAACCGGGTTATGGTCGTCTTTGTGCCGATCATCTTTATCATTGTACACGTGTTTTGTTTTGTTTTTGCCTTATTTTCCCGTCTTTGGCTTGTAAAAGGTTGTGTTTGTTGGTGACGGTGCGCGCGTCTGTATGTGTGTGTGTTGGCAGGCGGGCGACTCAGCGGTGGCACCGGCGGCCGACGGCGGTCCGACGGCCGACACCGACAGCGGCCGCCAGACCGGCCGGCCGCCCATCAAACTCGAGTCGGAGGCCGAGCTGCCGCCCAGCGCGCCCGTCTTCTCCAGCTCGGAGCACGCCTACTCCTCAGGTGGCTGTCAGGGCGGCACCGCGCAGCCGGCCCGCTCCCACACAGTCGGTCCCACCCGGCCCGCTCCCATACAGTCGGTCCCACCCGGCACCGCGCAGCCGGCCCGCTCCCATACAGTCGGTCCCACCCGGCACCGCGCAGCCGGCCCGCTCCCACACAGTCGGTCCCACCCGGCCCGCTCCCATACAGTCGGTCCCACCCGGCCCGCTCCCATACAGTCGGTCCCACCCGGCACCGCGCAGCCGGCCCGCTCCCACACAGTCGGTCCCACCCGGCACCGCGCAGCCGGCCCGCTCCCACACAGTCGGTCCCACCCGGCCCGCTCCCATACAGTCGGTCCCACCCGGCACCGCGCAGCCGGCCCGCTCCCACACAGTCGGTCCCACCCGGCACCGCGCAGCCGGCCCGCTCCCATACAGTCGGTCCCACCCGGCCCGCTCCCATACAGTCGGTCCCACCCGGCACCGCGCAGCCGGCCCGCTCCCATACAGTCGGTCCCACCCGGCACCGCGCAGCCGGCCCGCTCCCATACAGTCGGTCCCACCCGGCCCGCTCCCATACAGTCGGTCCCACCCGGCACCGCGCAGCCGGCCCGCTCCCATACAGTCGTCTCGATTAACGTCTCTATTCACTGCCGATTAATGACCCAGTTTTTCTTTGTTTGCTAAAATTACCTACGCACGGGATGGGCCAACTAAGGTCAATTGAGGTCTAACAACGTTGTTGCGAACAACTTCTTGGCGTAGCCGTGCGGACATAAAGGTTGTGCCTCAGAAATGGTGCAATTGTGTTCTTCTTTATCAGCGGAGGTAACTGATATGCAACGTGGAGCACTAAATTGAATATCCGAACTTTAATTGGAACGAAACGTAATCCGCGCTTTGCTGGGGGGGGGGGGGGGCGTTTTTACGTCCCCTTCAGGTTTTTCGCGAATATTTCAAAAACGGCGGCGAGCAGCGCCGCCGTTTTTGGTACATCGTTTTCATGTCGATAATTTTCGTAAGAATTTTCTTACGCATGGCCTACTTCTTAACCCGCGCGGGGCTGGGGTCTCCAGCCGAACGCGCGGGGCTGGGGGGGGGGGGTAAATTACCCCCCCCCCCTGTTATCTCCCGACCTAATGGTCCTATTTGGAAAATTCAAAGGCCAATCGAAAGATCTTATCACGAACAACTAAAAACATGTACTTAATTTAAAGTTTGAGGTCAAGGTCAAGGTCAGGTCAAGGGTACAAATTGCAAGTTTCTACAGCATCAGTATCGGCATTGCACCGTAGTTGCCGAAGAATGGACTGAGACTGATTGCCCAAAACGTGTTTTTAGGCTACCAAGACAATATTCGTTGCATACAATATCATTCAGAGGTCAAGGTCAAGGTCAGGTCAGGTCAGGTCAGGTCAGGTCACCAAAAACAAAATATAGAAAAGGGCATGTGCGACACATGTTTTATGGGTCATTTTATTCATAAAATTCAATAGGCACACTCAATAGGTGATATGGACCACATCTGGATGAATTTCAGGTCGAGGTCAGGTCAATGTCAGGTCAAGTGAGCTCAAATTTTGAAGTTGGTTGTTAAGACCTAAAAATGTGTCTATCTGATGCAGTTTTTCACGGCGAATCGAATGGTACTATTTTTGTTTCCGTACGAGGTCTAGATTTTCCAAAAAATTGTTTGTCGTGACGTCATAAAATTTTGAATAACTCCCACATTTTTGAACCGATTCCTCTAAAAATTGGTATGTAGGTACACATGGACCACTTCTCTGACATACCTATATTCCGGCTTTTTCGATACACGCAAAAATTTGGATTTTATAATTATTTTCCCAAAAAAGTCAGTTTTTTTTAAATGGGCCAAAATCAAAAAATTTCAAAAAAACCGAGATAGCAATTTGATAGACAAAGTAGAATCACGTACCTAAGCTTTTTGTTACGTCTTGATTCCCTTAAAAATGAAGATGTTAGTGGCGTTTGAAATTTTGCCGTTTTTGAGGCGAAAATGGGGAACATGACGTCACTAAAACGTCATTTTCCTCAAAAATTTCCGAAGGATTTCGCTCAAATTTTCAGGGAACGTGTCAAATTGATGTAAGAAAAGGTACTGAGAGTTTGGCGGCGCGCACGTTTTTGAGATATTGCAAAAATTCGCCAGGGGGGGGGGGTTAAATTTACCCCCAGCCCCGCGCGGGTTAAGCAATTTTTTTTTAAACACGTGAACTTTGTCGATTAAAACTTAAGAAGTGTCGACGTGAATGCCAAATTATACTTACGAAAGAAAATCGACTTACGAAGTCGACGTGAATACGGCCCCTGTTCATGCATCCTTTCCGCACATGTGATAACAATTTCAGACCCGGGTTGTTCAAGGTCAGGTCAACAGGACACCGCAAGTGACCTTACCTAAAAAAAGTTCAAAGTCTCGCTATAGCTACACCGACAGAACGATCACTTTGAAACTTTCAGCGATTGATAAAAGTAACAGTATGTATTAAGTTTTTATCTCGGATTTTGATATCTGTGACCTAAGGTCAGGTCAATTTTACGACCTCTCCATTATGAGTCAATGCTAGAAAATTGAAATGCGCCTCTTTTGGACGAATGTCGTTCCAAACACTCTCAAGCATGAGTTCATAGGTCGCATGACACACTAAATCGGAAAGAATGCACCTGTGACCCATCTGTGTGCCCCTGAGATCATCTCAGGTCATGAAAGGTCACAAGCAGTTTTTTACAACTTTTGATGGAGACGTGCTAGAGCGGGGAAAATACGTCAGATGTGTTCAGCTCGACGATACGGATCTACTGATATGCAAATGACCCTTTCCGATCAAGTCATGACCTTGACCTGGTGTCAAATTTTCAAATTGATCTTTAACCCGCCACCGCCTGGGCTATTTCCGTACCCACGACAGCCTGGGGGGGGGGGGGGTCGGACCCCCCTGTTATCTCGAGAACCAATGGTCGTATCGAGCCCCGCGAGGCGGCGTTCGAAAGGTCTCTACGAGACCTTCCCAAAGCACTCTTAAGATTTTAAGATTGAGGTCAACTTTCGGGTCAAGGTCAGGTCAAAGGTCAAATTCAGGGGTTTTGCATGAATCGGCTTACGGACAGCGGAATCGATAGCTGCTTCTCGAAACTCACCAAAAATGACCTCAAAGGCCTAGTGAAGGTACCATGTGCGTATAGGGGTCATACTAAGTACGGGTCAAGGTCAGGTCAGGTCACGAAAGGTCACGGTTTTCACTTTCTGCTACATGGGCGTGCGACACATGTTTTATGGCTTATTTTTCACGCCGAATCCGATGGTAATGGTTATATGTGACCCCAAGTCACTGTGCTGGTGATAAGTGTGCATTGAAAGCACAAAAAATCGTTAATACTATACATAACTAAACGAGGGCTAAGAAAAAAAGTCAATTTTTCAACCTTTTATTTTTGACATAAAAATGCACTTTTCTAGACGAGCTTTATCCCAGGAATCTATTGGTGCCATTTGTTTTCACATGCGATGTCCAGAAGTGCCTCTAATTCACGAAAATGCTTATGACGTCACCATACCCTATGCATGTTGGAGCCATTTTTTACAATTTGGGGGTCAAAAACCAAGATAGAAAGTTGAAATTTGGGGCATCTAATGTTCTAACAGAGCTCTACAACATATATTCCGGTTTTTTGGAAATTCCCAAAATTTTGGGTTTTATTAGCTGTTTTCCAAAAAAATATAGTTTTTTGAATTTTTGGGGGTGAAAAACGCATTTTATGGAAAATCCGAGATAGCCATTTTAAAGAACTCGTTGAGTTGCGTCTTTTCATGTCCTTAATTTGCAATTTGCTTCAAACCCTGATTTTTGGCGATTTTTTAAACATTTACCACTTTTTGACTAAAAACGCCATGTAGTTACATCACTAAAATCGATATATCTCAAACAAATTTGGAAATTTTTTCTTGAAAATTGCACAGGAGACGTCAAATTGATGGGGGAGAAGGTATGCCAAGTTTCAAGTATATAGCGAAAGTGGTTCATAAGTTATTCAAGAAAAACGGAGGGGGGGGGGGTCGGATGCGACCCCCCCCCCCAGGCGGTCGCGGGTTAAAGGTTAAAATATAGTTCATTTGACGCGTCTCGACAAGAGGAGCACGATACTGTTAAAATTAATGTCGAGACTCTGTTGAGTCAAAAGTTATTGCAGAAAAAAATATTTTTTTTTTCGTAAAAACGTCTTTTTTGGAGTTTTGCCCTCTGGAGGCTAAACCGTGGACGTGAGATCAAATCTGAACAACGTGCAGAAAGGTCTGTAAAAGGACTATCGAATGCGCTTTTCCGCGGCGCTGTAGGTCTATTGGTTCCCGAGTAAGCCGTTGGCAGTTTTCAAAATTATTGAAATGGACTAAATGTGACCTTTGATGACCTCTGGCGACCTGATCTTTGACCATCACCTAAAAAGTGACGGAAGTGTCTCCACCATTATTTTTGACGCTCTTTCGATTGTTGCTTACCGCGAGCTGAGTTAGACGCGGGTAGGGGCGTTAAACGCCCCCCCCCCAACACGACACGGAAAACACAGGCCACCAGCAGGGCGCGGGTTAAGTGAACTTGAAGTCAAATTGATGTGTTTACCTACATAACCTGGCAGCGAAGTATATCATGCGATGTGCATTGACCTTAGGCATCGAAGTCGCTCACGTAGTCACTCATTGTTTTAACCCTACACTGAAAAAAATAATGACACCTAAAAGGGGTGTTTTTTGAAGCGTACCAAAAACGCGCAGTTTTCTGGAGTCCGATTACACCCGGAATCAGACACTTTCTAGGGTATTATGACACTGGTTGAGGGTGTATTTTAACACCGTAGGTCGTCAAATGATTCCCGGAATCATACGCCTTATGGAATAAAAATACACCCCAAATCAGAGTCATAATACTCTAGGAAGTGTCTGAAGTGTCTGATTCCGGGTGTAATCTGACTCCTGGAAACTGCGCGTTTTTGGTACGCTTCAAAAAACACCCCTTTTAGGTGTCACTTCAGGGAGTAATCGGATCTTGAGGGTGTATTTTGATCCCACACGGTGTATGATTCCGGGAATCATTTGACGACATGTGGTATAAAATACACCCCAAATCAGAGTCATAATACTCTAGGAAGTGTCTGAAAAGTCTGATTCCGGGTGTATTCTGACTCCTGGAAACTGCGCGTTTTTGGTACGCTTCAAAAAACACCCCTTTTAGGTGTCACTTCAGGGAGTAATCGGATCTTGAGGGTGTATTTTGATCCCACACGGTGTATGATTCCGGGAATCATTTGACGACATGTGGTATAAAATACACCCCAAATCAGAGTCATAATACTCTAGGAAGTGTCCACGAACCCTAACTCTAGCCGTCTGTCCTGTCCAGTAACGACCGATAACATTGATATCGACTGTCGGTCCGTGTACAAGAGCAGCTGAGGTTTTCTGTGCGTGCCCTCTGACAGCTTTTCGTTGTTCCCTGTGAGGGTGCTGGGACAATTTACTCAGGGTCGCTGTACAGTAGCAACTGCGGGTCCCCGTACAACTAACCAACATACCCATGGGTATGTTCTGCTTCTGAAGCTTATAGGAACGATTAGCCAGACTGCAACGAGACTTTAAATGTAGCTTACATGTGTCTTCACCCTTGCAGCTACAATTTTATCTATTGACGATGACGTCTTCTTTTCAATCAGTCTTTATACCAGATATTGTCAAATGATTCTCGGAATCATACACCTTATGGGATCAAAATACACTCTCAAACAGAGTCATAATTGCAGTTGTTAACCACGTGACGCAAATAACAATACATGTATGTCATTCTTTATTTTATATGCAACAATAAATTCCAAAACATTTGGGCACGAAATGTATGGCGAAATCTAATGAAAACTTATCGTAAAGCTCATGGGTCCGTGACTCCATTCACCGTAAGGAATTACTCACATTTCAACAATGTCAATGTTCCATCAACCGGTGATCATTGCTACTTACTTAGGTAGAGTTATTCTGCTGCTTAATGACATAAAAACTTACCTCCGTCTCCATGGGGCGTTGCTATCTTGTCCTACTTCAAAATTTCGCCGAGTGCAGGGCGCCTCGTTATTTAAATACGCATGTTGAGCAAACTACAAATAAAATCTGAAGTCTATCGTTAAAGCACTATCACTTGAAGTAAATCTACACTTTAAACAACGTTTGGCGACATTACAAGCGCGTTAATTCAAATAAGTTCCTCTCCCCGCTCACACCACACGCACCCACGTGGGCACACTTCCGGCAACTGAAGTCAACGGCTTTCCTAACGGTTTTCCTGCAAGGTCGAGCTATTTCATCTTCGTGGCGGACCGGCATGGCTAGAACACAAATGACGTCACACGACAATGCAGCTTGCTGATTGGCCGGCCATTGACTCAAACCACTGGACCTGAGCTGTGGTTCGCACCAGGGTTACAGAGTCAGAGTCAGAGTTGGGTGGAGTTGACAGAACTGTGGCCGGAGTCAGAGTCGGAGTAGACTTTGGAAGCCGGTACTGGAGTCGGAGTCTGAGTCACCGAAAATCAATTGATACCGCAGCGTATCCGGACAAATCTTTGCATGGCATTTCTTCGTCGCGCAATTCTTCGTCCGCAAAACTTCGTCCGCTCATTTCTTCGTCTCCGCCTTTCTTCGTCTTGCATTTCTTCGTCTCGCATTTCTTCGTCTCGCATTTCTTCGTCTCGCATTTCTTCGTCTCGCATTTCTTCGTCTCGCATTTCTTCGTCTCGCATTTCTTCGTCTCCGCATTTCTTCGTCCGCGCATTTCTTTGTCTCGCATTTCTTCGTTTTGCATTTCTTCGTCTCGCATTTCTTCGTCTCGCATTTCTTCGTCTCGCATTTCTTCGCCTCGCATGTCTTCGTCTTGCATGTCTTCGTCTTGCATGTCTTCGTCTTGCATGTCTTCGTCTCGCATTTCTTCGTCTCGCATTTCTTTGTCTCCGTATTTTTCGTCTCGCATTTCTTCGTCCGCACATTTCTTCGTCTCCGCATTTCTTCGTCTCGCATTTTTCCACAAATCTTCGTCCGCAAATTGACAGTGCAGCCTGCTGATGGGGCTATTGCCTATTTCATCTTCGTAGCGGACCAGCCATGGCTAGCACCAAACATGTGCATGGATCCGAGCGATGGATCTATGATCTCAGTGGATCTCGAAGCAAACTGCAGGTAACAGGTTAGAATCTATGATCCCATCGGATCCGTCGTGAAAAAACTCATCTTGGATCTATGATCTCATACGATCTGACGATAAATCAAGAACATGGATCTATGATCTGAGTGGATCCCACCATGCACAACATTTGAAACCATGTTTTAAAGGGTTTCTGTATCAATAAGTGCCACAAAACTATGGATTATGACGTGCGAGCACATAAAATCACTCAAACAGAACGGTTATGCGTTGCAACAAGTGTTTTTTTTTATTTCTGTGCTGACAAAAAATAAGTGAGGATCTATGATCTCACAGGATCTCAAGCAAAAAATGAGACTCGAATCTGTGATCCCTACGGATCTCTCGATAAATTTGAGAGCTGGATCTATCGGTTCCCCCCCCCCCTTAATTGAAGATGTTCCGCCGCTATACTGCTATCATGAACCCTATGGGTGTCATTTCACTCAGTTGAGCGTTTTCGTAATCCGTGACTCGCTTATTAGGTGTAATTTGACCCTCAGTGGTGCCATAACATTTCCGGTGTCATTTGAACCCAATGGGGCTCAAATGACACCGGAATATTATGACACTACCCAGGGTCAAATTACACTCAATAAGTCATTTGTACGGAATATTATGACACCACTGAGGATCAAATTACACCTAATAAGGGAGTCGTGGATTGCGAAAACGCTCAACTGTGTGAAATGACACCTATAGGATATAAAAACTCCTCATGATAGCGTCAAAAACGCTTAGATGTGTCATTTTACACTGACACCTTGCAGGATCTTTTGACACGACACCTAAAATGGGAGTCAAAATTTTGGGAGTCAAATGACCCTTGGGTATGTGATTCTGACCGAGATCAATTTACACTAAAAAAACGGTGTATGGACACCGTTTTTCAGAATCGGATTACACCATGGGTGTCAGTTGATTCCCAAATAGGGGATCGTGATTCCCGGGGGGAGTAATTATTTTTCTCCGTGTATTACTGGTGGGGGGGGGGGGCGAATCGGCCCCACCTGTAGTTTTTTTTTTTGCTCACGACGGAATACCACTTAAACCAGGGGCTCAAAATTTGGTGACGATTCCTTACTATTCATTGGACACGTTGTGTCAAATTTTAAAGTTTCTAGTTTGCGCAGAGGCGTCTCCAGGACAAGTTTCTCGGGGGTAGTTTTGGTCCAGCTTTGACTAACTATTGCGACATTTGCCGCTTATGCACCTTAAGACTATGTAACGTCATTTTACAATGAAAATATTGAAATAGGCGGATCCAGGTACCTGTGAAAGGGGGTAATATCAATGTACTACCCCTGTCTTTGCGTGCCTGAATCCGCCTTTGCTTAACGAAAACGTGTACTTTGTGCATACCTACGTTGCATATTTTACAAGATATATGACAAATCATATCATCATCATATCATTATCATAATCATATCATATCATATCATATCATATCATATCAAATCATATCAAATCATATCATTATCATAATCATATCATATCATATCATATATATCATAATCATATCATATCATATCACTCTCTCTCTCTCTCTCTCTCTCTCTCTCTCTCTCTCTCTCTCTCTCTCTCTCTCTCTCCCTCTCCCTCTCGGCCCGCAGCGTTCAAGCAGGCGCCGCCGACTCCGGCGCGCAAGCCACGCAAGGCGGTGCTCTCTCCGCGGCGCACCGATTCGCCTCCGCCTCCGCCTCCGCCGCCGGCGCCGGCGGCAGCCCGGTCGGCGGCCGGTCGGCTGGGCGCCCAGTCGCTGTCGCAGCTGGAGGCGCTGCTGCTGGAGGGCGACCTGCTCGAGGTGACGCTGGACGAGACCGAGCAGCTGTGGAGACTGCTCTCCGCCGGCCGGCCGCCCACCGGACAGCCCAGCTTCCCTGACATCGACATCGTCAAGGTGGGCGCGGGGCGGAGGCGCCACCACCCGCCCCCGGCCGGCCCGGCCGGCGCCCCGTGCCCTAACGCTGCAGCAGCAGACCGGGCCACAGTACAGGCAGATTGTAAAAATAATCTTGCGTATGGCGTAGCTACCCCAAAACAGTGCTACGTATGGCGCAGCTTCTCCAAACAGTACTGCGTATGGCGTAGCTTTTCCCACCCTTAAGTCTGACTAACTACCGAGAAGGAGCGCTGGCGCCGGTAGCCACTAGCTGTCGGCTGTGGCGCCTCATGTCTGTGTCGTCGGAGGGGCTTCACCTGCCCTGTCTGTCGCCGGCAGGTGGAAACCGGTGCGCCGCGTCAGCAGGCGGCCGGCCCGCGCAGGAAGCGCGGTGCGGCGGCGTCTCGCGCCGGCCACCCGACCAAGCGGCTCAAGGTGAAGGTGAAGGGCTCGGGCGCCGAGGAGCCGGCTGAGGAGGGCGCCGAGCCGGCCAGTCCCGCCCGGCGCGTCCCCAAACAGGGCGCCGCCATCAAACGCCGACTCGCCGCCAAAAAGCGAATGGTACGTGGCAGTCAGTGCGAGAACACGGCTGGCCGGTGGCCAGTGCTGGCGGGCCGCAGCGGGGGGCCGCATATCTGCCGCCGCCGCGCTCCGTGGCGCACCCACCTGAGCTGTTTATTTGTCTGAGCATCGTATGCTCGCTCTGGTGACCACCGTTTCCACTGCAGCGGGCAGGGCTTCTGGACGTGCGCACATGCCAACTGGGTTCCATCTGACTTTTGTGGGGCACCCTGCTCGCCGGTCCCTAAAACTATGCCGCAATCGGTCCAGCCATTCTCGGGACGTGGAAGCGACCCCTGCACGTCTCTCAGTTGGAACCCAACCCATACTTGGCCGAAGCATTGCACCAAATTTGGGCGCAATCGACCCAGCCGTTCTTGAGATATAAAACCGGCCCGCTGCACGGGCGCACGTGCAAACTGAGACTCTAGATGATTTGTGCCAGACCCCTTTCTAAATTGTCCCTAACTGTGTAGATACAAAATTTGAGCAAACTAGGCCCAGCCGTTTCTGAGATGTTGGATCATTCCCTCGCACGTGCACACGTGCAACAGCACCCCACACGTGGCAATCCATCGTCCGGTGATATTCTACCGACAGTCCAAGTTTCAGCTAAATCGACACAAAAACGGCTGATTTATTGCAACCATAGATTTATTTGATTTATTGGTGAATCCCTTGGCGAGCGGTGCCATGCGTCGGCGTTCGTTGTGAAAGTTCAACGACCTGCCGACTCCGAGCATTTTCGCTCGGTTTTATTACGAGCGAGCGAGCGCAGCGAGCGAAGTGAGTCTTTTCAATATAACGGAAAAATCTCAGTATGAGCGGCCCGGCCCGGCCCGGCCCGGCCCGGCCCGGCCTGTAACGCTTTTGAGAGGCTTATATTTCAGCAACCGCTGGACCGATTGGCCTGCGGTCTTTTTTGTTGGGTAGCCCCATCCCTTCTACCCCGTAATTGACTACTTTTGATACATCTCAGTGACCGTCGTGGCACGTGCCACGTGAAAAGTCAAAGGTGTTCAAGCTGTTTTGCAAAAGTAGTGATTTTGAGAGGCTCATATCTCAGCAGCCGCTTGGGCGATTGGCTTGCGGTAATTTTTGTAGGGTAGCAGCATCCCTTCTACCAAAAATAGGATACTCTCCATGCATGTGGGTCACCCCCAGTGCAGGTGCAAAATACAACAATAAGAGGTGTCAAATTTGTTCCCATTTTAATAACTCGGTAATTACTGGGGCGATTTCGCTGAAACTTGTCATACAGGTAGGCACCCACCAGACAATGCATTCCCATGTGTTGCGGTTAAGGTGCTACTGCACGTGCGCACGTGCAGGGGGCGCTTCCAGATCTTGAGAACGGCTGGGGCGATTGCGCTCAAATTTGGTACACGGTTGGGGACCAGTTAGTAGGGTGCCGTGCAAAAGTCAGTTTGGACCCAGTTTGCACGTGCGCACGTGCAGAATGCTGCTTCCAGATCTCAGGAACGGCTGGGCCGATTGCGTTCAAATTTGGTACACCGCTAGCGACCGGTTAGAAGGGTGCTATGCGCAAGCCGGTTGGAAGCACCCTCTCGCCCTTCCGCACGTGCAGGGCTCACTATCTCGCTCGCTCGTTCTTCGCCCAAAAGGCGTTTTACTGGTAAATTAACAACTGAGCCATAGATAACATCGAACCATACCTTACGGAGTGAACCCGCGCAAACCCCCGAGGTTAACCCGCGCATGACTGGGGTATTTTCCATAACGCTATTGACTGGGGGGGGGGGGCTTTCCAGAGCCTCCTCCTATCTCCGAAACTGGACCGATCGTCAAAATTCTAACGGTGTCTGATAGCCCTGGAAAAACTGTCGTGCGAAACCTATTTTCATTGACCTCGAGGTCACCGATGACGTCACAGGTCAGGTCAAAGTAAAAAAATTCGGCATTTTTGCTTGCTCACAATTTAGGCTCTGACCGCAGGCTGCCAAGTCCGATCAGGCTCATTTCTGGTTTGCGCACTCCTTGGTATATGCCTTAGATACCCTGAGGGTACCGAATTTTTACTTCGATTTTTTCAGGTCAAGGCCAGGTCATCCTAGGTCACGAAAATGGTATATCATGTATCGGTAACGTGACGCATGTTTTATGGTCCAATTTACTCGTAGATTTCGAAAATATTGTCGTCTGTGTCATTTGAGATCATTTTCAGCTGAATTTACCGGAGGTCAGGTCACTTAAAGGTCTGAGGTCAAATTTTGAAAATGATTTTTTTCCAGAAAAAAAGGTTGCAGCTGCAGTGTGAGCTTAGGAATACGATGGTGCCATTTATATTGCTGTACGATGTCAAAAACGTCCTAGAAATGGGTTGAAAAAATACATACCTAATTGTAAAATTTTGACAATAATGCAAATAATTTGGCTATTTTTGAAGATGTTCGGCTAAAACTTGCTAGAAAAGTTAATCACTTTGTTCTTTAAGTTTCTCAATGCTTGTGCGAAGATCATATTAAAGCATTTTGATTCATGACCTTACCCTCGTAGTTTCAAAAAGTTAGATCAAAACACTTGTTTATTAATAATTTCGAGCACAGCTCTTCATCAGAATACAAAGCCAAAATGTCACGATAAAAATCCAGATTTTGGATGGATGGATTTTGGATGGATTTTTATCGTGACATTTTTGGCTTTGTATTCTGATGAAGAGCTGTGCTCGAAATTATTAATAAACAAGTGTTTTGATCTAACTTTTTCAAACTACGAGGGTAAGGTCATTAATCAAAATGCTTTAATCACTTTGTGTTCTATCACATATATTACGGTTTTTGCGAAAAACAAAAAAAAAATCAAAAAAATATTTTATGTTTATGTGTAATGTCCAATGTCCAAGAATTATCAATTTAACGGTGTGCCGTGTAGGTAGGTATGTGTTAAAATTTATATAATGTACTTTCCATGGGGTCAAACTTTATGTCATTCTTTATTGATCACCCTGTAGTTCTGGGTGTACTGCGCCGACCGTCGCGGTAACACCCCCCCCCCCCCGCCCCCGCTGTGCGTCGCCAGATGTTTGAGAAGGGAGCACGCAAAACGGCCAAGGCTCGCAGCCATTCGCCGGCCAGTGAGGGCGCCGGTGCCATTCGCAACTACGTAGAGGACTGCGCCGCTAAACCCTGCCAGAAGCCGCACGGTGAGCTCCGCCCTGAGATGGAGGGGAGACTACCCCGCCGACAGAGGGAGACTATCCCTCCGACAGAGGGGAGACTACCCCGCCGACAGAGGGGATATTACACCCGCCGACAGGGGGAGACTACCCCGCCGACAGAGGGGAGACTACCCCGCCGACAGAGGGAGACTACCCCGCCGATAGAGGGAGACTACCCCGCCGACAGAGGGAGACTACCCCGCCGACAGGGAGGAGACTACCCCGCCGACAGAGGGAGACTGCTCCGCCGACAGAGGGGATATTACACCCGCCGACAGAAGGAGACTATCCCGCCGACAGAGGGAGACTACTCCGCCGACAGGGAGATACGAGTAGTACACCCGCCGACAGAGGGAGACTATCCCGCCGACAGAGGGAGATTACCCCGCCGACAGAGGGAGACTACCCCGCCGACAGAGGGGAGACTACCCCGCCGACAGAGGGAGACTACCCCGCCGACAGAGGGAGACTAGCCCGCCGACAGAGGGGAGACTAGCCCGCCGACAGAGGGGAGACTACTCCGCCGACAGAGGGGAGACTACTCCGCCGACAGGGAGATACGAGTAGTACACCCGCCGACAGAGGGAGACTATCCCGCCGACAGAGGGGAGACTATCCCGCCGACCGAGGGGATATTACACCCGCCGACAGGGAGATAGTACACCCGCCGACAGGGGGAGATTACCCCGCCGACAGAAGGGAGACTACACCCGCCTACGCCTTACAGGGAGCATGGCGTTGTGTTCAGCTGCAGGTTGTATAATTATAGGCATTATGTAACCCAATTTGGTGGGTGCTCTCTCCCGCGTGCAGTATGTTGTCTACAGTCTTTCCCGCGCAGTGTGTTGTCTGCCAGTCTCTGCCGTGTCCAGTGTGTTGTCTGCCAGTCTCTGCGATGTGCATTGTGTTGTCTGCAGTCTCTGCCTTGTGCAGTGTGTTGTCTGCACTGTGCAGTGTGTCGTCTGCAGTCTCTGAGATGTGCATTGTGTTGTCTGCAGTCTCTGCCTTGTGCAGTGTGCTGTCTGCCAGGCTCTGCTGTGTGCAGTGTGTTGTCTGCACTGTGCAATGTGTTGTCTGCACTGTGCAATGTGTTGTCTGCACTGTGCAGTGTGTTGTCTGCAGTCTCTGCCGTGTGCAATGTGTTGTCTGCAGTCTCTGCATTGTGCAGTGTGTTGTCTACAGTCTCTGAGATGTGCAGTGTATTGTCTGCAGTCTCTGCACTGTGCAGTGTGTTGTCTGCAGTCTCTGCGATGTGCAGTGTGTTGTCTGCAGTCTCTGCCGTGTGCAGTGTGCTGTCTGCAGTCTCTGCGATGTGCAGTGTGTTGTCTGCAGTCTCTGCGATGTGCAGTGTGTTGTCTGCAGTCTCTGCGATGTGCAGTATGTATGTATGTATGTATGTATTGCTTATCTTTGGAGAAACCACACAGGCACTTACACTCCAGCGTCAAGCACAATCAAAGTAAGTTAAAATATGAAGCGAGCAGATCATTGCAAGAGGTCACACAGCCACACTGACATACCTATCGGGATCATTTGGACGCCAAACAACTGCGTATGCTTCGCCTGAACTTGGCCGCCCTCGACTGCCTCACATCCGGTGGCAGGCGGTTCCAAGTCGCAATGGCTCGGTGAGGGAACGACATTTTTGTGCACTGCAGACGACACCTAGGGATTTGTAGCATAGTATCATCAGCGGTGGAGCGCGTCGGTCTCAGCGATACCTGTGACCGAGTCTCAACGAGTGCCCTCAGCTGCCGAGATGCGTCCCTCTGCCGCATTACATGATAGATTCGCTGCACATCGCGCAGATCGATCATCGCGTCGAACGTAGGCCAGCCTAGCTCCAATCGGGCTTCCGTGACGCGGTCAAATTTACGGAGCCCTGTGAAAGTTCTGACTGCGAAATTAAACACCTTCTCGATCCGTTTCCTGAGAGTCTTTGATTTGGGGCCCAAACAGGAAGACAGTACATGAGTGTGGGGAACACCAGCGCCTGAATCAACATTTTGGTTGTCTCCCGAGGTAAATTCAATTTCCGAATAGAAACAATAGCACCACTACACTTCTGTGCCACTGAGCTAACCTGTTTTTCCCAGTTTAAGTGACAGTCGAATTGGACACCTAAGATCTTGATGCTTTCTGAGTGCTGAAGTGACACACCATCAAAGTTCACAACTAAATCTGATACGCTTGCGGTGTTTGCTGGGGTTCCAGCCAGCAGGAACTCGGTCTTGGTGGGGTTTACTTTGAGCCCGTTACAGCGAAACCACCGAGACAGTTGAACTAAGTCGGACTCTATGTGACGTTTGAGCTGCGTCACATTATCAAGTCCAGCACAATGCACTAGCTGGCTGTCGTCCGCATAACTAGATAGCCAGCCGAACTGAATATGGCCCACAAGGTCATTCATGAACAGGTTGAACATGGTGGGACCCAAAGTTCCGCCTTGGACCACACCAAACGGCACCTCCTCGATGCTGGTTCCCCCCTTCACGGTCTGGGTCCGATTCGCGAAATAGCTCCCCAGCCAATGGGTCGATATCCCATACCATCCTAGCTTGGACATCAGTGCACCACGCTGGACACAATCGAACGCCTTACTGAGGTCCAGTGACGTCACCGATGTGACCATGCCACGATCGGTGTTGTGAGCTATACGGCTGGCTAGACAGAGCGCAGCATCCTCCGTCGAGTGGGCAGGGCGATAGGCGAACTGGGTAGGAGTCAGAATGTTGTTACTACATATTTAGATAGCTCAAAATTTGCAAATTTACAATCTTCTCGGCTAGTTTTGAGATTACATTTAGAACACTGACTGGCCGAAAGTTGGCTGGCAACGTTTTGTCTCCTGACTTATAGATCGGAACCACCGTGGCATGTTTCCATAGAGAGGGCACGACACCGGTTGAAAGCGAGTGGTTAATGACATGTAGCACAATAGGACCCACTACTTCGAAACACTCGCGTAAAAGCTGCACGGTTACACCGTCAGTGTTGTCTGCAGTCTCTGCGATGTGCAGTGTGCACACGGCAGAGACTGCAGACAGCACACTGCACATCGCAGAGACTGCAGACAGCACACTGCACACGGCAGAGACTGCAGACAGCACACTGCACAGTGCAGAGACTGCAGACAACACACTGCACATCGCAGAGACTGCAGACAACACACTGCACATCGCAGAGACTGCAGACAACACACTGCACATCGCAGAGACTGCAGACAACACACTGCACATCGCAGAGACTGCAGACAACACACTGCACATCGCAGAGACTGCAGACAACACACTGCACATCGCAGAGACTGCAGACAACACACTGCACATCGCAGAGACTGCAGACAACACACTGCACATCGCAGAGACTGCAGACAGCACACTGCACACGGCAGAGACTGCAGACAGCACAATGCACATCGCAGAGACTGCAGACAGCACACTGCACACGGCAGAGACTGCAGACAACACACTGCACATCGCAGAGACTGCAGACAACACACTGCACACGGCAGAGACTGCAGACAACACACTGCACATCGCAGAGACTGCAGACAACACACTGCACATCGCAGAGACTGCAGACAACACACTGCACATCGCAGAGAGAGACTGCAGACAACACACTGCACATCGCAGAGAGAGACTGCAGACAACACACTGCACATCGCAGAGGCTGCAGACAACACACTGCACAGTGCAGAGACTGCAGACAACACACTGCACATCGCAGAGACTGCAGACAACACACTGCACATCGCAGAGACTGCAGACAACACACTGCACATCGCAGAGACTGCAGACAACACACTGCACATCGCAGAGACTGCAGACAACACACTGCACATCGCAGAGACTGCAGACAACACACTGCACATCGCAGAGAGAGACTGCAGACAACACACTGCACATCGCAGAGGCTGCAGACAACACACTGCACATCGCAGAGGCTACAGACAACACACTGCACATCGCAGAGGCTGCAGACAGCACACTGCACATCGCAGAGACTGCAGACAACACACTGCACATCGCAGAGACTGCAGACAACACACTGCACATCGCAGAGACTGCAGACAACACACTGCACATCGCAGAGACTGCAGACAACACACTGCACATCGCAGAGAGAGACTGCAGACAACACACTGCACATCGCAGAGAGAGACTGCAGACAACACACTGCACATCGCAGAGACTGCAGACAACACACTGCACATCGCAGAGACTGCAGACAACACACTGCACATCGCAGAGACTGCAGACAACACACTGCACATCGCAGAGACTGCAGACAACACACTGCACATCGCAGAGACTGCAGACAGCACACTGCACACGGCAGAGACTGCAGACAGCACACTGCACATCGCAGAGACTGCAGACAGCACACTGCACACGGCAGAGACTGCAGACAGCACACTGCACAGTGCAGAGACTGCAGACAACACATTGCACATCGCAGAGACTGCAGACAACACACTGCACATCGCAGAGACTGCAGACAACACACTGCACATCGCAGAGACTGCAGACAACACACTGCACATCGCAGAGACTGCAGACAACACACTGCACATCGCAGAGACTGCAGACAACACACTGCACATTGCAGAGACTGCAGACAACACACTGCACATCGCAGAGACTGCAGATAACACACTGCACATCGCAGAGACTGCAGACAACACACTGCACATCGCAGAGAGAGACTGCAGACAACACACTGCACATCGCAGAGACTGCAGACAACACACTGCACATCGCAGAGACTGCAGACAACACACTGCACATCGCAGAGACTGCAGACAACACACTGCACATCGCAGAGACTGCAGACAACACACTGCACATCGCAGAGACTGCAGACAACACACTGCACATCGCAGAGACTGCAGACAACACACTGCACATCGCAGAGAGAGACTGCAGACAACACACTGCACATCGCAGAGGCTGCAGACAACACACTGCACAGTGCAGAGACTGCAGACAACACACTGCACATCGCAGAGACTGCAGACAACACACTGCACATGTGCAGTGTGTTGTCTGCAGTCTCTGCGATGTGCAGTGTGTTGTCTGCAGTCTCTGCGATGTGCAGTGTGTTGTCTGCAGTCTCTGCCGTGTGCAGTGTGTTGTCTGCAGTCTCTGCGATGTGCAGTGTGTTGTCTGCAGTCTTTGCCGTGTGCAGTGTGCTGTCTGCAGTCTCTGCGATGTGCAGTGTGCTGTCTGCAGTCTCTGCCGTGTGCAGTGTGCTGTCTGCAGTCTCTGCGATGTGCAGTGTGTTGTCTGCAGTCTCTGCGATGTGCAGTGTGTTGTCTGCAGTCTCTGCGATGTGCAGTGTGTTGTCTGCAGTCTCTGCGATGTGCAGTGTGTTGTCTGCAGTCTCTGCGATGTGCAGTGTGTTGTCTGCAGTCTCTGCGATGTGCAGTGTGTTGTCTGCAGTCTCTGCGATGTGCAGTGTGTTGTCTGCAGTCTCTGCGATGTGCAGTGTGTTGTCTGCAGTTTCTGCGATGTGCAGTGTGTTGTCTGCAGTCTCTGCGATGTGCAGTGTGTTGTCTGCAGTCTCTGCCGTGTGCAGTGTGTTGTCTGCAGTCTCTGCGATGTGCAGTGTATTGTCTGCAGTCTCTGCCGTGTGCAGTGTGTTGTCTGCAGTCTCTGCGATGTGCAGTGTGTTGTCTGCAGTCTCTGCGATGTGCAGTGTGTTGTCTGCAGCCTCTGCGATGTGCAGTGTGTTGTCTGCAGTCTCTGCGATGTGCAGTGTGTTGTCTGCAGTCTCTGCGATGTGCAGTGTGTTGTCTGCAGTCTCTGCGATGTGCAGTGTGTTGTCTGCAGTCTCTGCGATGTGCAGTGTGTTGTCTGCAGTCTCTGCGATGTGCAGTGTGCTGTCTGCAGCCTCTGCGATGTGCAGTGTGCTGTCTGCAGCCTCTGCGATGTGCAGTGTGTTGTCTGCAGCCTCTGCGATGTGCAGTGTGTTGTCTGCAGTCTCTCTCTGCGATGTGCAGTGTGTTGTCTGCAGTCTCTCTCTGCGATGTGCAGTGTGTTGTCTGCAGTCTCTGCGATGTGCAGTGTGTTGTCTGCAGTCTCTGCGATGTGCAGTGTGTTGTCTGCAGCCTCTGCGATGTGCAGTGTGTTGTCTGCAGTCTCTGCGATGTGCAGTGTGTTGTCCGCAGTCTCTGCGATGTGCAGTGTGTTGTCTGCAGTCTCTGCACTGTGCAGTGTGTTGTCTGCAGCCTCTGCGATGTGCAGTGTGTTGTCTGCAGTCTCTCTCTGCGATGTGCAGTGTGTTGTCTGCAGTCTCTCTCTGCGATGTGCAGTGTGTTGTCTGCAGTCTCTGCGATGTGCAGTGTGTTGTCTGCAGTCTCTGCGATGTGCAGTGTGTTGTCTGCAGTCTCTGCACTGTGCAGTGTGTTGTCTGCAGCCTCTGCGATGTGCAGTGTGTTGTCTGCAGTCTCTCTCTGCGATGTGCAGTGTGTTGTCTGCAGTCTCTCTCTGCGATGTGCAGTGTGTTGTCTGCAGTCTCTCTCTGCGATGTGCAGTGTGTTGTCTGCAGTCTCTGCGATGTGCAGTGTGTTGTCTGCAGTCTCTCTCTCTGCGATGTGCAGTGTGTTGTCTGCAGTCTCTGCGATGTGCAGTGTGTTGTCTGCAGTCTCTGCACTGTGCAGTGTGTTGTCTGCAGCCTCTGCGATGTGCAGTGTGTTGTCTGCAGTCTCTCTCTGCGATGTGCAGTGTGTTGTCTGCAGTCTCTCTCTGCGATGTGCAGTGTGTTGTCTGCAGTCTCTGCGATGTGCAGTGTGTTGTCTGCAGTCTCTGCGATGTGCAGTGTGTTGTCTGCAGTCTCTGCGATGTGCAGTGTGTTGTCTGCAGTATCTGCGATGTGCAGTGTGTTGTCTGCAGTCTCTGCGATGTGCAGTGTGTTGTCTGCAGTCTCTGCGATGTGCAGTGTGTTGTCTGCAGTCTCTCTCTGCGATGTGCAGTGTGCTGTCTGCAGTCTCTGCCGTGTGCAGTGTGCTGTCTGCAGTCTCTGCCGTGTGCAGTGTGCTGTCTGCAGTCTCTCTCTGCGATGTGCAGTGTGTTGTCTGCAGTCTCTGCGATGTGCAGTGTGTTGTCTGCAGTCTCTGTGATGTGCAGTGTGTTGTCTGCAGTCTCTGCGATGTGCAGTGTGTTGTCTGCAGTCTCTGCGATGTGCAGTGTGTTGTCTGCAGTCTCTGCGATGTGCAGTGTGTTGTCTGCAGTCTCTGCGATGTGCAGTGTGTTGTCTGCAGTCTCTCTCTGCGATGTGCAGTGTGTTGTCTGCAGTCTCTGCGATGTGCAGTGTGTTGTCTGCAGTTTCTGCGATGTGCAGTGTGTTGTCTGCAGCCTCTGCGATGTGCAGTGTGTTGTCTGCAGTCTCTGCGATGTGCAGTGTGTTGTCTGCAGTCTCTGCGATGTGCAGTGTGTTGTCTGCAGTCTTTGCCGTGTGCAGTGTGTTGTCTGCAGTCTCTGCGATGTGCAGTGTGTTGTCTGCAGTCTCTGCGATGTGCAGTGTGTTGTCTGCAGTTTCTGCGATGTGCAGTGTGTTGTCTGCAGGCTCTGCGATGTGCAGTGTGTTGTCTGCGGTCTCTTCGATGTGCAGTGTGTTGTCTGCAGTCTCTGCGATGTGCAGTGTGTTGTCTGCAGTCTCTCTCTGCGATGTGCAGTGTGTTGTCTGCAGTCTCTGCCGTGTGCAGTGTGTTGTCTGCAGTCTCTGCGATGTGCAGTGTGTTGTCTGCAGCCTCTGCGATGTGCAGTGTGTTGTCTGCAGTCTCTGCGATGTGCAGTGTGTTGTCTGCAGTCTCTGCGATGTGCAGTGTGTTGTCTGCAGTCTCTGCCGTGTGCAGTGTGTTGTCTGCAGTCTCTGCGATGTGCAGTGTGTTGTCTGCAGTCTCTGCGATGTGCAGTGTGTTGTCTGCAGTTTCTGCGATGTGCAGTGTGTTGTCTGCAGGCTCTGCGATGTGCAGTGTGTTGTCTGCAGTCTCTGCGATGTGCAGTGTGTTGTCTGCAGTCTCTGCGATGTGCAGTGTGTTGTCTGCAGTCTCTCTCTGCGATGTGCAGTGTGTTGTCTGCAGTCTCTGCCGTGTGCAGTGTGTTGTCTGCAGTCTCTGCGATGTGCAGTGTGTTGTCTGCAGTCTCTGCGATGTGCAGTGTGTTGTCTGCAGTCTCTGCGATGTGCAGTGTGTTGTCTGCAGTTTCTGCGATGTGCAGTGTGTTGTCTGCAGGCTCTGCGATGTGCAGTGTGTTGTCTGCAGTCTCTGCGATGTGCAGTGTGTTGTCTGCAGTCTCTGCGATGTGCAGTGTGTTGTCTGCAGTCTCTCTCTGCGATGTGCAGTGTGTTGTCTGCAGTCTCTGCCGTGTGCAGTGTGTTGTCTGCAGTCTCTGCGATGTGCAGTGTGTTGTCTGCAGTCTCTCTCTGCGATGTGCAGTGTGTTGTCTGCAGTCTCTGCCGTGTGCAGTGTGTTGTCTGCAGTCTCTGCGATGTGCAGTGTGTTGTCTGCAGTCTCTGCGATGTGCAGTTTGTTGTCTGCAGTCTCTCTCTGCGATGTGCAGTGTGTTGTCTGCAGTCTCTGCCGTGTGCAGTGTGTTGTCTGCAGTCTCTGCGATGTGCAGTGTGTTGTCTGCAGTCTCTGCGATGTGCAGTGTGTTGTCTGCAGTCTCTGCGATGTGCAGTGTGTTGTCTGCAGTCTCTGCGATGTGCAGTGTGTTGTCTGCAGTCTCTGCGATGTGCAGTGTGTTGTCTGCAGCCTCTGCGATGTGCAGTGTGCTGTCTGCAGCCTCTGCGATGTGCAGTGTGTTGTCTGCAGTCTCTGAGATGTGCAGTGTGTTGTCTGCAGCCTCTGCGATGTGCAGTGTGCTGTCTGCAGCCTCTGCGATGTGCAGTGTGTTGTCTGCAGTCTCTGCGATGTGCAGTGTGTTGTCTGCAGTCTCTGCGATGTGCAGTGTGTTGTCTGCAGTCTCTGCGATGTGCAGTGTGTTGTCTGCAGTCTCTCTCTGCGATGTGCAGTGTGTTGTCTGCAGTCTCTCTCTGCGATGTGCAGTGTGTTGTCTGCAGTCTCTCTCTGCGATGTGCAGTGTGTTGTCTGCAGTCTCTCTCTGCGATGTGCAGTGTGTTGTCTGCAGTCTCTCTCTGCGATGTGCAGTGTGTTGCCGGGGCGGTGATGGAACTGGTGCGCTGTGTGTGGAGCTGTGCTGAAACTGCGGCACTATGCGGGCCGGTGACTGCTGTCCTTTAGCCGACTCGCCTGTGCTGGCGCCGACAGGCTCCTGTATAAACTGGATCGGCTGCGACGACTGCGAGCAGTGGTACCACTACATCTGCGTCGGCCTGCCCAAGAACTACCAGGTGACCGAGGACATGGTGTACATCTGCCCGCGCTGCCAGGACACCCAGGTGAGCTGGCGACACACCGTGCCTTGGCCCGCGCTGCAGCCAAAACGTACCTACTGTATGTATGTACGGCTCTCGCGAGATCAGATTAAGCGGTAGGTTTTGCACTTTTATATTTCCGGTTATATCTCAGAAACTAATCGATCTACGATGAAGCGATTTTACACGATCATGGCCGGTTTGTGAACCAACAAGTCGATTGCATCTTCAACACTTAAAAGTTTAAGACGACGAAGATATAGCCTGAAGTACACGAAATCCTAGGTGCAAAACCTACGGCTAAAACCCGCGAGACCTGTACATCAAACTGTCGGCTTCATTCACTGGATCATCGCCTTGATAAAGTTGATGATCTCTCTCTCTCTCTCTCTCTCTCTCTCTCTCTCTCTCTCTCTCTCTCTCTCTCTCTCTCTCTCTCTCTCTCTCTCTCTCTCTCTCTCTCTCTCTCTCTCTCTCTCTCTCTCTCGCTGGAGCGGAGGAGGGTTACAGGCCTGCGATCCGGTGAAAGGAATTGCACGGCGCCCTCGGCACCAACGTATTCGGCCTACTGAGAGTAGCGAGCTGGCGCATGTAACCGCAGCTGCACCGGGAAAAATGTCAACCAGCTAAAGCTCCATGTCTGTCAAACGTCATTACCAGTAGCCAGGGCTCTGTCCCATGCGGGACGCTTCCAGTCACTGGGAGGTATTGGCGCTCGGTCTCTATGAAAACGTAAGCAAAATTGCGCATTCTGCTCACGTTTCCACAGAAACCTAACACCTGGTAGCGTTGGGTAACAGCGTGCGATGAAAGATGTCCCAGGTGACGGAACTCCTGTACAGGATTACTGAAAGTACCTCGCCACATCATTACCGCTCCAGACCGTGTGTCAAAATGCGTACCGGTTCACAACGACTGCATGGCCACTGCAGTCTGAACGACCACCCCTCGGCTGCATGCATGCGACTGTCGTGTGGCAGAGGTTAATGCCACTTTGGCAGGTCAGAAACCTTTGAGATGGATTCAGAGAGCTTGTACAGCTCGCAGCAAATGCGTTCCGCCGTTTCCAATTTTCCATTCTGCCTACATATATGTAAAAACGACATTGTGTGTCACAAATGTGTATAACAAGCCTTGGTTAACAAGTTAAGTGATACCAGTTTTCTTGGTGGATAGACACGGCCAGAAATAAACCCAAGCCAGTCTTGAAAACATTACCAAACATGCATCGCTAATGATACTTGCTTTTTCCCCGTCATATACCGCTTACGCCGCCTACCCTCATTTGTGCCCAATGTTCCCAAATGGGAACATCATTTTTTAAAAGGTTCGAAATTTTTAGAGGAAAACTAAGGCCATAATTACAATCAGGGAGGTCAAAAACTCTCAAAACACCATTCGGAACATAAAATATCACCGCATTTATATGTTTGGTCCTTAACCCTCGCCCTGGCAGGGGGGGTCGATGCGACCCCCCCCCCCCTAAGGTTTTTCGAAGATAGCGTAAAAACGGCGGCGCGCAGCGCCGCCAAATTGGGCACAGCCTATGGGGCAACCTTTTACATATGACCTGAAAATTTCAGGTCCGGGTGACCTTGGGTCAGGTCACCAGGTCAGAAAAACCGGTACAAGGTCATGGTCAAATTTCAATTTTCTTTTTGCACCTGTCCAACTCACAGTTTTGCACTGATTTCCTTCAAACTTTCAGGATGTGCTAAGTTCACCGAGTTGTATAACATATAGTTCGGGTTTTTTGAGGTCACTGACCTGAGGTCAGTTAGAGGTCATTACGTCGTAATGTTAAGCCTATGGGAAAATACTAAATTCGGAAAATACTGGAGATATCCGCTTCGTTCTATCACTTTTGTGCTTTGAAACCACAGTACTTAACAGCAGGTCACTTGGTGCTTCTTTTTTGGTGTACTTATCCATGGGCCAGGTCAAATGAGGTCAACTGAGGTCAAATGACGTTTTTGCTAATAACTTGGCACGTAATGACGCTAGAGCTTAAAAATTGTTTCATTGTGTTCCTGGTGATCAGCCGAATCGAATGATATGCGATATGATGCAATTTGGTTAACTTTAACTTAATCTATTAATTTAAGTTTACTTAAAATTTAAGAAAAGCTTTAAGTACACTTAAGCAAGCTAAAAAGTATATCATTCGACGCGCCTTGACTTGCTGAGTTCACTGGTGCTTTTCTTTTTGCTCTATCTTAATTAGATAAAAAGTTATAAGCGAAAAACTTTTGACCTGTTTTTAGCGAAATTTTTACATTTATACCCCCCCAAAATACCCCTAAATATTGACCTAGAGCAACCAAATTTGCACAGGGGCGAGAACTCCAGGGGCCCACCTACCTACCAAATTTGGTGTTTCTAGGTGCCATAGGAGCCAATCGCGAGGGGGGTCGCATCGACCCCCCCCCCCCTGTCAGGCCGTGTTATGAAAAATGCCCTGCCAGGGCGAGGGTTAATGAGTAAAGGCCGCCCCACACTGGAACTCGCATGTGGGTTGCGAGTTTGCTGGTTTTGAGTTTGCGGGCATAATACCAATTCATAGAGTGATTAAACCGTTCCCTTATGGTAACTTCATAAATGCAGTGAAGCCGGTAGGTACACCTTCAGAAACTTACATATAGTCGCAATACCAGCGCAACGAACCAAAATTCGACTCCAACGGAAAACCTGCAAACCTCGCAGACCTCGCAGCGAGGAAATTCGAAAATTGACTCAAAATCAACTTTTGGAATGCGATGCAAGGTCACTCGCAAGCAAAAAACATGCGGACTCGCTTGTTAGATGGTAGTGTGGGCCACTTAGCTTAGATTGTATTATCTGATTTTGAAGAAACCGCAAAACCGAAAAACTCGCAACCCGCATGCGGGGTCCAGTGTGGGGGCGGCCTTTAAAGCCACTTGGGAGTTTCGAAGTCCGCAGTGACGTCTCCCCACTCCAAATGTGGCATCCAATCCGCTCCCAAAGAACCGTTATGTAGCAGCGGTCTGCAGCAGTTGGAGTTCTAAAAACAGAAGTTCAGGGCTATAAAGAGCGCAATCAACATGCACCTCAAAGAAATATTCCCGACAAAGCAGGCACGCTCGGCTGTTCCGCGTTGGCATAGCAGGCATGACGGGGAGTGATCGTGGATGGATATGTTGACTTAATTGGTGTGACAGCTGTGCAGTGTGCGCTGGTCACTTTCAGGGGCATTTCTACGGTCGCAGGTTTGGGGATGTTCATCAAGACAGCCCATATTCAGCCCAGATTCAGCCCGGATTCAGCCCAGATTCGGGACACCTACGAACAAGCTGAAACTCGCACACAATGTAGGTCCTGACGTGCCCAATCCACAGTCCGAGTCATTCGGTGGCACTCCCAGCCGTTTGACCTACAGAGGTCAGCAAAGGTCACGTGGCCCAAATTTGCACAGCAGATTGTGGCCCACCCAGTAAAGGTAGAGCGCTAAAAATGGCACCAATCAACTCGCCAGCATCTATTCTTACTTTCCATATACCCATTTGACCTCTCAAGGTCATGCGATGACCTAAGATCATTTGTGGGCTATGTCGAAAATACACTTGCACAGCAGTTCTCGAGTAAAAGGATTGGCCTAATTCCAAATCGAAGCACATCATCGGGTAGCCCACAGGCTGTAGTAACTTTCCTTAAAAACCGCTTCTCGATATGTGACCCCGTTTGACCTCGGCAGGGCAAAATGTATAAATAAACGACACTCCATACGTCGCAGCCCAGATTCAGCCCAGATTCGGGACACCTCAGATCAAGCTGAAACTTGCACACAATAGAGGCTTTGACATGTACAATCCACAGCCCGAGCCGTTCGGTGTCACACCCTGCCGTTTGACCTACAGAGCGGTTTTTAACCCGCGCCCTGCTGGGGGGGGGGGTGTTTGAACACCCCCCCTTGTGGTTTTTCGCGAATATCTCAAAAACGTCCGCGCCGCCGTTTTTGGTACACCTTATCATACATCAATTCTACACATGTTGTGAAAATTTCAGACCAAGGTCATTCAAGGTCAGGTCACCAGGTCACTTGAAGTGACCTCACCTCATAAAAACTTTCAATGTCTGTCATAGCTACACCGAGTGACCGATCGCTTTGAAACTTTCAGCGATTGCTAAGAGCAATAGCATGTACAAAATGTATATCTCAGAATTTTGATATCGATGACCTAAGGTCAGGTCAATTTTGCGACCTCCCCATTATAAGTCAATGGGAGAAAAATGAAATGCGCCTCTTTTGGATGAAAGACATTATAAACACTCCCAAACACCGAATTACAAGTGGTTTAGACACACTGAACTTGAAAATGGTGTCCGTGACCCTTGTTTATGCCCTGAGGTCATCTTAGGTCACGAATGGTATCTAACAGTTTTTCGCAAATAACTTTTGATAGAGGCATGCTAGAGCGATGAAAACGCCTTAGATGTGTTCAGCTCGACGATACGGATCGACTGATATGCAACATGACCCTTTCCGGTCAGGTCATGACCTTGACCTGAGGTCAAATTTTCAAGTTGACCTTTCAAGGTCAAGTTATAGGTCATTCGATGCGTCTTGACGAGAGGAACACGATGCCGGTAAAAGTAAGCTCGTACAAGGCTTGGGTCAAAAGTTATTGCAGAAAAACTGTTTTCGAAAAAATCGGCTATTTTTGCAGTTTTTGCCCCCTGCAGGCAAAACCGTTGACGTTAGGTCAAATCTGAGAGAATTACTCAGAAAGGGCGTTAATAGGGCTATCGAATGCGCTTTTCCCCGGCGCTGTAGCTCTATTGGTTCCCGAGTTATGCGTTGGCTTCTTGGAAATTTTTGACATTCGACCTGGAAATCGGCGAAATTTTGCCTTCAATGACCTCTGGTGACCTGACCTTTGACCTGACCAAAAAATTGACCGAAGTGATTTCGTCATTATTTTTTACGCTCTTTCGAACGCCGCCTTCCGCGTATCGCTACGTGGCCCAGGAGCCGAGTTACAAGGGGGGGTGTTCAAACACCCCCCCCCCCCCCAGCAGGGCGTGGAAATCCAGGACCCCCAGCAGGGCGCGGGTTAAGGAAAGTTACAAAGGTCACGTGGCCTAAATTTGCACAGCAGATTGTGGCCCACCCAGTAGAGCTAGAGCGCTAAAAATGGCACCAATCGACTCGCCAGCATCTAATCTTACTTTCCCAATACCCATTTGACCTCTCAATTTGTGGGCTATGTCGAAAATACACTTGCACAGCAGTTCTCGAGTAAAGGGATTGACCGAATTCCAAATCGAAGCACATCATCGGGTAGCCCACAGGCCGTATTAAGTTTCCTTAAAAACCGCTTCTCGATATGTGACCCCGTTTGATCTCGGCAGGGCAAAATGTACAAACAAATTTGGGCCACGTGACCTTTGCTGACCTCTGTAGGTCAAACGGCTGGGAGTGCCACCAAATGACTCGGACGTCAGGACCTACATTGTGTGCGAGTTTCAGCTTGATCGGATGTGTCCCGAATCTGGGCTGAATATGGGCTGAATCTGGGCTGCGACGTGGCTATGGAGTGTCGTTTATTTGTAGATTTAAAAATCGCTAGACCTGCGCTGACGTGACAAAGTCTAAGGGGGCATTCATATAGCCCCTTATAATCCGAAAACTGCAACTTTGAAATTAAATATCTCCGAATTGAAGCATTTCTCGATGTTGTGAGTGCCCGAACCGGTAATTGCAGGCCAGAGACCCAAATTTAGCTATCTCAGCTCAAAACTAATGTTAAGGTGGGATGGTCACTTTATTAGCCTCGCTTGTTTGAATAAACGGCTTTATGTAGCATGGTTTTAGGTATATTAGGACCTCTGTACCTAATGGCAATACAACCAAATATAGTGAATGGAGAAAGCACACAGGCACACACACACACACAGGACGCCCATGTGTGTGTGTGTGCGTGCGTGCGTGCGTGCGTGCGTGCGTGCGTGTGTGTGTGTGTGCCCCTATGACGCGCCGCCCCTGTGTGTGTCTGTGTGCGCCGCCCCTGTGACGCGCCGCCCCTGTGTGTGTCTGTGTGCGCCGCCCCTGTGACGCGCCGCCCCTGTGTGTGTCTGTGTGCGCCGCCCCTGTGTGTGTCTGTGTGCACCGCCCCTGTGACGCGCCGCCCCTGTGTGAGTCTGTGTGCGCCGCCCCTGTGTGTGTCTGTGTGCGCCGCCCCTGTGACGCGCCGCCCCTGTGTGTGTCTGTGTGCGCCGCCCCTGTGTGTGTCTGTGTGCGCCGCCCCTGTGTGTGTCTGTGTGCGCCGCCCCTGTGTGTGTCTGTGTGCGCCGCCCCTGTGTGTGTCTGTGTGCGCCACCCCTGTGACGCGCCGCCCCTGTGTGAGTCTGTGTGCGCCGTCCCTGTGTGTGTCTGTGTGCGCCGCCCCTGGGTGTGTCTGTGTGCGCCGCCCCTGTGTGTGTCTGTGTGTGCCGCCCCTGTGACGCGCCGCCCCTGTGTGTCTGTGTGCGCCGCCCCTGTGTGTGTCTGTGTGCGCCGCCCCTGTGACGCGCCGCCCCTGTGTGTGTCTGTGTACGCCGCCCCTGTGACGCGCCGCCCCTGGGTGCTGCAGGCGCCGCGGCCGGCAGCGGCCGGAGCAGGCGGCGGCGGCTCGCTGCTGGAGCTGGCAGGCGGCGGCGGCTCGCTGCTGGAGCTGGCCGCCGCCGCTCAGGAGGAGGACGGCGCCAGCGCGCTGCTCTCGCTGGCGGCCGGCGGCGGCGGCCAGTCGCCCGACCTGCAGTAGCGGCCCTCTGGCAGCACGCACCGGGCGCCCAGTGTCGACCCAGGCAGCCGCACTCGGCCGCGGCGCGCTGGCGTCGAGCGCAGCTCAGCACGCGGAGCACACGTTCAAACAGTTCTGCTTTGATTGGGACGTCACCTTTCGGGTTTTCTGTAGTTTATGACTCTGAACACAAAAGCGTCGTCTGCGTTGCGCCGCCGCCGAAGAGCGTCGTGTATGTTCTGCGGTTCAGCGCGCTCTCCCAGTCTGCGTGTCCCAGTCTGTGTGGCGCGCTGTCCCAGTCTGCGGGGCGCGCTGTCCCAGTCTGCGGGGCGCGCTGTCCCAGTCTGTGGGGCGCGCTGTCCCGGTCTGTGGGGCGTGCGCTGTCCCGGTCTGTACGATGCGCTGTCCCGGTCTGTACGATGCGCTGTCCCAGTCTGCGGGGCGCGCTGTCCCGGTCTGTACGATGCGCTGTCCCAGTCTGTGGGGCGCGCTGTCCCAGTCTGCGGGGCGCGCTGTCCCGGTCTGTACGATGCGCTGTCCCGGTCTGTGTGGCGCGCTGTCCCGGTCTGTACGATGCGCTGTCCCGGTCTGTGTGGCGCGCTGTCCCGGTCTGTACGATGCGCTGTCCCAGTCTGTGGGGCGCGCCGCTCGGCAGCTTCTCTGGTGGCGCTGGGGTTCGGCGTTCCCGGTGGCAGCCGATAGCTTGGCTGCTGTCTGTGTGGGAGGGGATTCCGGCGTTCGTGAAGCGCTCTGTCCACGGCCACCGAGGCAGTTCCGCGCAGTCCGGTCAGCGCCATGTTCACTGATCAGTGACTCGCACCAATTTCGGCCTGGTATTCACCTCTATGTGACCACATCTGAAGCGTAGAAAGGTTCAATAAATGCACATTTGATGATGTGTTTTGAACGCGCCTGTGCAGAGGCGTAACTTTGTGTACTTTTGGGGACAGGTGCCTCCCCCGCCCCCTACACCTTAAAACCTGCCACCCATCACTCCCGTTTGCCCCTCAACCTTTCGCGCCCCTCAACAGGCGTCCCGAGGGGCAAAGGAGCCCGCCCATTTGTAAGGGCGCCGCTCTAGCCGTTACCATTGCCGCTCTGGGTAGCGCCTTATCTCAGCCCTGTTGCAAAAACGGCACACTTAGCTGGGTGCAGCGCCCCATCGGTTCAAAAGAGCGCCCCTCGAGCCAAAATTGGCGCCCATCTGAATACACGGTTGTTGCATCATGCATGTCATCTCTTTTGCTAAGACTGACGCTCCTGGCACGAAAGGGCGACGTCCCACCCGACTCGCAACGGAACCCTGGAGGCCCTTTTGAGGCCGGTGAGGTCCTCCAGGTCCCTCTGGCCAATACCCTGTGCCATGGCTGCTGCTAGAACAGCACCCGGTCCGGCAGGCTATCCCCCTGGCTCCTGATGCCCCCCCCCCGCGCCGCGCCTGGCGCGCCTTGATATTTTCCCCACTGAAAGTTGCAATTTTGTCTAATGACGATTAAAGCCTTATTAATTGTTATTCATATGCAATAATAAAAAAGTGGCTTTCGACCTGAATATTTCTCCAGTGACCTCAGGTCAGGTCATTTTTGTGACCTGTCCTTTATACCTAAGTCAGTGGCAGAATTAGGTATCGGCTACCACCGAAACGCATCTGACCGGTTCAAATACTTTTGAATCATGTTGAGTTGGGCTATAATTGATGACACTGGTGCAGCTTTGCATCAATGACCCGCTGAAAGGTCATCCGGGGTCACCCATTGAACACAGAACAATAATTTTCCTTTTTTGTCTGTACCTTTTGATCTAATAGAGAAAGAGACTTGGAACAGGCAACATTGTGTTTCCTTTGGCCTAGCGCTAGTTCGCTTTGAATTTCTATATCGATGACCTAAGGTCAGCTCAATTTCTTGCCCACCCGATTAAAAGTCAATTGGGGAAAAATCAGCTCCCTTATTTTTACACTAAAACGCGTCGGAATTGCCTAATATACCATGAGTGACTTCATACACGATCAAATTTGACTATTTTGAAACCTGTTTTGCTCTTGGGCAGCAGTAAGGTCATGTGACGTCATTAAAGGTCACCAAAGTTTTTTTTTGCTAATAACTCCTACAGGTTCAAGATACAGCCGCGCAGATGGGCTCATTATGTTCAGCTCATCAAGGCGCATCGAATGATATATATATGATGACCTTGAGGTCACGTGACCTAAGGTCAACTTTAACCTTGAGGTCACGTGACCTAGGTCAACTTTGACCTTGACCTTTCGAGGTCAGCATAGATATGTTTCGACGTGGATCAACGAGAGGATCACGATGGTGCTATTAGTTTGTTCCTAGCTGGCATACGTCGAAAGTTATTCGAGAAAAACTTCATAATTTCATATAAATGTAGTGCCGCTATGTTGACTTTTGTTTACCCCTGTGACGTCATCTTTACCTAACCTCAAAATGACCTCCGTAAAAATTGTAGATCTTATCTGTGTGTATCCTGTGCCGATTACCGCTTGTCGCTATCTTGCTTTGTTCTCGAGATCTCGCTGTCGCTCCCGCTCGTAATAAAAGGCAGGTCATAAAAATGACCTGACCTGAGGTCAACGCAGGCCGAAAGCCAATTTTTTATTATTGCATATGAATGCCAATTGATAAGGCTTTAATCGTCATCAGACACAATTGCAACTTTCAGTGGGGAAAATATCAAGGGTCACTCTTTGAAAAATAGGTCAAGAGGTCAAGTGATCAAAGTTTTCAAAAAATTGAAAATCCGAGATAGTCAATATGTTCGTTAGTTGATTGCAAGCTGAACCATAAAAAAAAAATTATCATAGAAAATGAATAGTTTCTGAGTTATAAGCCGCCAAAATAATAGGGTTGCGGCATGATCTCCAGGAATTGCCCGAGGCTATATCTCGGAAACCGTTGTTCGAAGGAAAAAATGCTTGCCGCAGTTGGCTTCCCCGCCCATGACAACCCCTTAGACCAGTTTTAAACGAAAAATAAAATATGTGGGTGTCAAAGTTTTTTTTTGTCGATCTATCGTGGAATGCCCCCAGTGCTCTCCTGGGTAGTGATATGATACCATTCCTGTTGCTAAAACGGCACACTTTGCTGGGCGCAGCGCCCCAACGATTCATAAAACTGCGACCCACCGGTATAGGATCACTGAAGCACATACATTAGATTGGCACCTGCATTTTATTCAAATGATATATCACGACGCCAGCACTGAGCTCTGGCACCAACATCTGTCAACAACAAATCCAAGAACGAAGGTGCCGTCCGCCTCCGCCCGCGTGGCCGACGTCTACTGGTGACAACTAGCTGTCTGACTGCGGCCTCGGCCGACGTCTACTGGTGACAACTAGCTGTCTGACTGCGGCCTCGGCCTGGTCGGCGGCCGGCCCGGCGCCACCACCAGTCCCACACACTCACACAGACAGACGCACGCCGACAGAAGCGCGCAGCCGAGCGGCGGCAACAGCGCTGACCACAGGAGCCGGCCACTGGGCGGGCCCATCCGCGGCGCGTGGGCGGGCCCATCCGCGGCGGCAACAGCGCTGACCACAGGAGCCGGCCACTGGGACCACAGGAGCCGGCCACTGGGCGGGCCCATCCGCGGCGCGTGGACGGGCCCATCCGCGGCGCGTGGGCGGGCCCATCCGCGGCGCGTGGACGGCCCGGTATGGGGCTACCTACTCAACTCGGCCTGTAGACACTACGGACGCGGCGCCGTCTGGCGGCCCGGGCCCGGCGCCGTGCCACCGCGCCACGGCCGCGGCCCGGCGCGCCGCGGCAGCGGCTGACTAGTGGCGGCCCCGCCGCGCCGGCGGCGAGTCTCAGCTGGCCGGCGTCTCTCAGCTGCCGCCGGCGGCGCCCGCCAGCGGCAGGCAGTCGTACGCCTCCAGCGCCGACATCACCACGTACACCAGCCAGAGCAGCAGCAGGAACAGAGACGAGGCCGCCTTGATGGCGCGCGGACCGCCCAGCTCGCCGCCGACGCGAGGGTGCCGCCGCAGCAGCATCAGGCCGATGGCGAGCGCCGCCTCGCAGCAGTACAGCGTCACGGAGAAGGCCAGGCTGCGCACAGGGGGGGGGGGAGTCAGCGCCGCCTCGCAGCAGTACAGCGTCACAGAGAAGGCCAGGCTGCGCACAGGGGAGGGGGGGGGGGAGTCAGCGCCGCCTCGCAGCAGTACAGCGTCACAGAGAAGGCCAGGCTGCGCACAGGGGAAGGGGGGGGGGAGTCAGCGCCGCCTCGCAGCAGTACAGCGTCACAGAGAAGGCCAGGCTGCGCACAGGGGGGGGGGGGGAGTCAGCGCCGCCTCGCAGCAGTACAGCGTCACGGAGAAGGCCAGGCTGCGCACAGGGGAGGGGGAGGGGGGGGGAGTCAGCGCCGCCTCGCAGCAGTCTCCCTTATACACCTTTTTGCACCACAAATCGGCATTTGGTCATTCAATTTCGACACTTTGCATTGGATATCGACAGAGCTACCTCCATCTAGACATGCCTCACACATTTATAATTATTTCATCAATGTTAAAATATCACCGGTTCATATTCGATCTGTTGCGTCGAATTTCGACAGGGGCATTGAATTTCGACAATGGTCAGCTGTAAATGAAGAACTGCATTTGTTTTTGACATTTTACAATCAATTCTGGCTATGGTTGTTTTGCTTTTTATAGATTTAAAAAGCAAAATCGGCAAATCGGCATTAAAATTGCCTTACAATGTGAAAGCGCTTGGTTGCTAATATATATTTAAGTAGGTCAGAGGTCAGGTCAAGGTCAGGTCAAGGGTACAAAATGCAAGTTTCTACAGTATCGGACTTGCACCGTAGTTGCCGAAGAATTGACTGAGACTGATTGCCCAAAACGTGTTCTTAGACTACCAAGACAATATTCGTTGCATACAATGTCATTCAAAGGTCAAGGTCAAGGTCAGGTCAGGTCAGGCCACCAAAAACAAAATATAGAAAAGGGCATGTGCGACACATGTTTTATGGGTCATTTTACTCATAGAATTCAATAGGCACACTCAATAAGTGATATGGACCACCTCTGGATGAATTTCAGGTCGAGGTCAGGTCAAGGTCAGGTCAAGTGAGGTCAAATTTTGAAGTTGGTTGTTAAGGCCTAAAAAGGTGTCTATCTGATGCAGTTTTTCACGGCGAATCGAATGGTGCTATTTTTGTTTCCGTACGAGTTCTAGAACTTCAAAAAAAAAAATCATTTTTCAAAAAAATTCGTGTGTCGTGACGTCATAAAATTATGAATAACTCCCACATTTTTGAACCGATTCTTCTAAAAAATTGGTATGTAGGTGCACATAGACTAACTTCTCTGACATATATTCCGGTTTTTTCGATACACTCAAAATTTTGGATTTTATAATTATTTGCCCAAAAAAGTCATTTTTTAAGAAAAAAAAAATGGGCCAAAATCAAAAAATTTCAAAAAACCGAGATAGCCACTTGATAGACAAAGTAGAATCACGTATAACCTTTTCGTTACGTCTTGATTCCTTTAAAAATGAAGATGTTAGCGGCGTTTGAAATTTTGCCGTTTTTGAGGCGAAAATAGCGAACATGACGTCACCAAAACGCCAATTTCTCAAAAAAAAAAATCCGACGGATTTCGCTCAAATTTTCAGGGAACGTGTCACATTGATATATGATAAGATACTAAAAGTTTGACGTCGCTGGCGTAACGCGTTTAGAAGTTATTGGCGAAAAACGGGAGGGGGGCAGATTCTGCCCCCCCCCCCCAGCCCCGTGCGGGTTAACGCACGAGTGCTCCATTCCATTCACGAGTGCGTTAAAACCATTTATGCACGGAAACCATGTGTTAAACTAATTAATACATGCTTACCGGTGCATCTGTCAGTACCGGGAGGCACATTCTGTCAGTACCGGGCGGCACAGTCTGCCAGTACCGAGCGGCATAGCCTGCCAGTAGCAGGCGGCACAGTCTGCCAGTACCGAGCGACTGCTGCCAGTACTGAGGTACACTGGCACGCGGCGGCTGCCAGTGCTGAGGTACACTGGTGTCCAGCTGCGGAGTACCAGAGCGAGAACATGTGCTGGGAACAGGCGACTGTCCCGCGCCAGCGCAGCGTTCAACCAGCTCCCATGTGGCGTGCGGTGCCTGACTGGAGCTGCTTTCAAACGTCGGCTCAAACAGCTGTTACTTAACGAGACTGGAGTTGGATGACTGAGTGTTGTGTTCTGCGAGGTTTAATGTCTATTTTAGTTCATCATCATCTGTTTTATGTTAACCCGCGAACCGACGGGGGGTTGACCGCCCCCCCCCCCGAGGTTTTCGTGAATAGCGCAAAAACCGCGGCGCGTAGCGCCGCGAAATTTAGCGCGACCTTTCCCTCATCAATTTTACACATGGTGTGCAAGTTTGAACCTCCTACCATTCAAGGTCAGGTCACCAGGTCACTTCGAATGACCCAGCCTCAAATCACTTTTTTGAAACTTTGTAACCGTATCAGAGCTACAGTAGACGACGGAGGCTTTTGAAAGTCACAGGATGTAACGAGGTCATTAGTAGCTACAATTTGTATATCTCGGAATTTCGATATCGATGACCTAAGGTCAGGTCCATTTCTTGACCTCCTCATTATAAGTCAATGGGGGGAGGGGGAATCAACTCCCTGTTTTTTTTTTCTCACTAAAACGCGTCGGAATGGCCTAATTTACCAGTGGCGGATCCAGGGGGGGGGGCAAAATGGGCATTTGCCCCTCCGAAACGGCATAATTTTAACATTACGCCTATGGAAGAGGCATGGAAAGAAGCAATAAATTGTTATGGTTTGCCCCCCCCCCCCAAAAAAAAAAACTCAGCTGGATCCGCCACTGTAATATACCATGATAGACTTCAGATACGATCAACCTTGACTACCTCGAGGCCTTTTTGCTCTTGGGCAACTGTAAAGTCATGTGACGTCATCTAGGGTCACTAAAGGTTTTTTTCTTATAACTCGTCACAGGAAGAAGATACAGCCGGCGCCGCGCGGATGGTCTCGTCGTGTTCAGCTTGTCAAGGCGCATCGAATGATAAACATGATGACCTTGAGGTTACGTGAGCTGAGGTTAACCTTTGACCTTGACCTTTCGAGGTCAACACATATATCATTCGATGCGGATTGACGAGAGGATCACGATGGTGCCCTTAGTTTGTTTCTAGCTTGGCTAGTCCGAAAGTTATTCGAGGAAAACTCTCCTCATATCTAGCGCCGCAATTTTGACTTTTTTTTACCCCTGTGACGTCATCTTTGACCTGACCTGAAAAAAGCCTGTGTAAAAATTGTAGACCTTGTCCGTGCGTACCCCATGCCGTTTACCGCTTGTGTCTATCTTGCTTCGTTCTCGAGATCTTAGGGGGCGAGGCGGTCAACGCCCCCCCCCCCCCCGCGTCGGTTCTAAGTTGGCGCAGCCCCGTCGGTGCGCGGGTTAATGGACATGCTGTGACTCGGGTGCGGAAGAGCCACTGTATATACCGTGGATGTACCTTCAAATATATTACGATTACGATTAGGATAATGGCACGCGGCTGCTGCCAGTACTGAGGTATACGCAACCGGTGCGTGGGTAAAGTCTTTATCAATCAGCCCGTACCCGGCTGTCCGAGGGTGGCGTTACAAAACTGAACAGCGCCCTGTGCTGTAAGCGGTAGCTCATTTCAGCCCCACAGTCAGCCTCAGACAGCTATCCGACCGATCGTCTGTCGCTCATGCACAAACTGTTAACGTCAGAGGCAGTCATCCCAGAGACCTCTCCCTCAAGTAGCTCGGCGCTTCTGATGCTAATTAGTGACGGCTGCGGGCGGGCCCGCGGCCGCAGCGTGCTCTCACTTTCCGGGGTCGACCTCGAAGGCGGAGTCGCGCCACCAGTGCACCACGGCCGCCAGCGTCCAGGCCACGCCGATGCCCAGGAAGACGTTGACGCCGTTGGAGCCGGTGACGTTGCCGACGGAGGCGTCAGCGTACCTGTCCTGGACGGCGGCCACCTTACTGGCGAAGGTGTCTGCGGCAGCGGCGCGCGCCGGGGGGGGGGGCGAGGTCAGCCGCGGTCAAACACCGCCACCGGCCGCAGCGCGCCACTCGCACTCGGTCACGGTTTCACCTGACAAATATTTCAACGGCGTGTTACGTTGCTGATATTGCGAAAGTTACCGTTAATGTGTTCGATTTGCAACACCACAGCGGCTGACGGTGCTGCGAAACGGTGCTACCACCGCGCATCGGCGCCGCCCACCGCAACACGCTACTGATAAACATAACGGGCGCGTTCAACGCTCTGCTTCCACTGACCGTCACTGCTTCACAGCAAACTATTCGTGCACATTTGGTTAGCGATAGCAGAACCAGGCCGGCACCGAGCGCCGTGGAGCGGCCAGTCCACATTTCCACCCACAGCCAGCACAGCCATGCAAGTTATGTTATATCAAACACATAGATCCCTAAGAGCCAGTGTGCGACAGTAAGCGACATGCAACCAGAACATGCCAAGCACATGCCACTAAAAGGTTGGTTGGTTATCAGGCACGTAGGTAGAAGTATCTAAGTGAGGTGGCAATAGGTATGTAGGCTGGAGGTCAAGCACTGAAAGCGGGGTGGGTGGGGAGAGGACAGCAGACGGAGCGGCCGCCGGCCCTATCGGCGGCGGGCAGCGAACGGACCGTGGCGACTTCAGGGCCAACCGCGGCGCCTCTCTGCCGAGAAGGGCCCGGCACGGCGGCTCATTATTGTCCACAGTCGAGCACCATGAAGCCGGTCATTAGCTCATCCATCTATGGTTCATTACATAGCCACATTAGCTGATGGCCTGACCTCTGTTATGAAGGGAATATGGCAGCCACTGCGCGGCTGTCATATCGGTGCGCCTTTATTTGATCCCGGCTGCCAGTAGACGGAGTGTGTTCGGACGGAGCCGTCTCTGGATCTTTTACCAGAACCAGCCCGCTGAGGTCATACAGATATTAGCTTTGTGCCTGAGAGGTTAAATTGATCAGCATACGAGCTCCTAACACGAATGAGAGACTCAAACCGAGCTCTCGAAATGCCCAGCGAAACCCCGGGACACGAAGGAGCCGGGGCGGCGAGGTCCGGCAGACCATTTGGTCTGTGAGGGGCGATGGAAAGTCTATGACTGGGTCTGTGACTGGGTCTCTGACTGGGATCGGGTATGTGACTGGGTTACAGGGTCTGTGGTTGGGTCTGTGACTGTGACTGGGTCTGTGACTGGGCTAGAGGGTCTGTGACTTAGTCTGTGGCTGGGTCTGTGACTGGGTCTGTGACTGGGCTGGAGTGTCTTCGACTGGAACTGTCCCAAAATAAGCACGGGCTGCAGGACTGTGACTGAGTCTGGGCCCGGGTCTGGGGCTGGGACGGTACCTGGTACTCTGGCACGGGCTGTAGGACTGGGTCCGGGTCCGGGTCTGGGTCTGGGTCTGGGACGTATACCTGGCACGCTGGTGCCCAGCGCCACGATCGAGATGGCCGTGACGCCGTCCCGCAGGTGGATGGTGCAGCCAAAGTGGGAGGCCAGGTCACCGATGACGGCCGTCAGCAGGCCGATCAACACGATCGAGACAAAGAAGCACGGGTAGCCGCTGCGCATCTCTGCCAACACCAGAACCTCGTCAGAGGCTACACCAGTGGCCAGGCCGACACGCCGCATTTTTAGTCAGGGGCCGCCCTTGCAATTTCTTGGTGTTACGATGGAGATTTGACCTCTTTGGGGATGCAGACTGGCCCGGAGAAGGCTCCGTCAAGAGGACGGCGGCTGAGGAGCGGTCGGCTGGGTCGATGTGAGCGCGTCGTGTGGTGCGGCGAGTCGGGGGGCGCCGAGCGGTGTAAACAGCGGCGCCAATGGCCGGCGCCGCCGACGGAGAGTGGCGCCCGACCGCATCGATCGGCCGCCGGCCGGCAGGGGCGGCTTGCGGCCTCGGCAGCGGCCACCGACACGCCAGCGGCAGCCAGTGCCTCCCTCCGGTATATGGAGGCTGTCAGACGGAGCCGCGGCCAGTCCGTGGCCACGACAGGACAGTCCGGGGGCCCAGGACAGGGCCCAATGAACAAGCTTACTGAAGGATACATGAATGACTTACACTGACCGTAACTAAAAACAAAATTACCAACTAAACTTCCTAGCAGCTTTTCCAGGAAAAAACCATAGTCACGTATGCATGGGACAGTTCTGATCGTTTTGCAAGTAAAATTTATTGGACTTAAGAGAAATGACACCGAGAAGTGGCCTTTGAACCCGTACTTGGTGGGAAGCTTCAGCAAACGCTTACTTTCGTCATGTGGTTTCGCGTGGCGGATATGGTCACGCAAATATCCCAAATAGTAAGTACGTGTATGAAACAGGTCCGGATAGAAAAACACTTGACATCTCTGAACAATTATTTTCCAAAGTAAATGCGTAAACAATCCTGTAATGATATCAATGAGTAAAAAAGCGAGCCCGAAAGTATCAGAGACTGGGTAAAGTACTGCCACAAAATGCTACATTCGTACGACACACGGTGCGCAGCTGGCCGCATGGCCAGACGGGACCGCAGGCATTCCTAGGCTCTGCAGGCAGTGCTGCTGCTGCTGCTGCTGCTGCTGCTGCTCAGCTACTGCTGATGCTGCGGTCAGACGGTCGGCCCACCTGCAGTCGACCGTCCCCCTATATCCGACCTCGGTCCCACCCACCTGGCACCGAGGTGCCCAGCGCCACCAGCGTGATGGCGTTGACGGTGTCTCTGAGGCCGACCGTGCAGCCAAAGTGGGAGGCCGCGTCACCGATGACGGCCGTCAGCAGGCCGATGCACAGGATGGCCACCAGGAACGCCGGGTAGCCCCAGTAAAAGCCTGTGGCCGGGCCGGGGTGGCAATCAGCGCGGCCACAGGATGGGGCGCACCGGGGAAGGTGGACCGCCGAGGGTGCCGGCCCGGTACCCAGCCACAGGAACGAGACAAAGCCGCGTGCTCACCTTTCGAGGTCTGACTTTGAAAAAAAAACGGAGCTTTCCGCTTCAACTCAGAATTAGGACGCTTACAAAGATAGCATTTATCATGCCTTTTGAATTCGTCTTCTTCCAAGTATATGTGTTACGGGCCAAGTGCGAAGGCTAGTCCGTTTGCGAACGGACTAGTCCATTCGCGAATGGACTAGGCCGTTTGCGAATGGCGGTCCGTTTGCAAACGGACTAGTCCGTTTGCGAATGGCCGGCCATTCGCGAATGGCCTAGGCCGTTTGCGAACGGACGGGTTTGTGGCGTTGCACTTAGCCGCCGGAAGCATGGATCCTCGGATTGGGGTACGATTCCGAATGAATGGGGGACCGCTGGTCGATGCAGGGGCGTCGCCGACGGGGGGATCGGAGGGGTCCGGACCCCCCCCCACACACACATTCTTGAAAATATGCCGGTCCGACGCCCCCCCCTCCCCCCACACACACTTTTGGCCACGAAAATCGATCAAGAATAAAATAAAATATTTTAAATATTTTAAAAACGATTTTGGTGCATTCTCAAAATAAAATTGTCTAAATCCGAGGAGTTTTCAGTATTTGGTGGGGATTACTTTGACTGACCGTCCGACCAGATCCCCTAGTCGAAAATCCGTGGCGACGCCACTGCGTCTATATGTTTAGTTTGTTCTCCGGAGCAGATCTGCGAGCTGGCGCAACTCTGGGTTAAGGTCTCCACACACCTGGTCCATTCGGGATGCGACTTTCCGCTGAACCCTGCACAACGCGGAAATTATAGCAACGTGTTGCCGCTGGCCAGGCTTCGGCCACCGATCTGGATCTGGGAAGGTCAAATATCCCCGTGACCTTCGAACAGCGGAGAGTCGCGTGGTGTGCGGAGACCATTAGTACCGTGCTCCGGGCTCCCGCTGATGACCCGACCTGACCTTGGTCGAGTTTGTGGCGCTCGATTCATTCTGCTCTGGTGTGGTGTACCGGGACGGTGCGGCTTGTGTGTGGTGAGTGCGGTGCGGTGAGTGTTCGAAAAACTGTTGTGTTGCATTGCATTTAACAATACGCGCACTGCAGGGGGGGTTGCTTTCAACCCCCCTGTGGTTTTTCACAGATCACGAGAAAACGGCGGCGCGCAGCATTTATGTAAGCATTTTCCGGTTGAGTTACCAATACTTTGCACGCATCATTTCACACGGGACTTTGCACATGCCAAGTTGACTTGCCAAGTTGACGTCACTTTGCTGGATATTTCGCACTTGGCCTGACTTCGCACTTGGACTGGGAGCATAAACGCCCGTCCATTTGCAAACGGCCTAGGCCAACTGCAATAACGCACATGGACTAGTCCATTCGCAAACGGCCTAGTCAAAATGCGTTATCGCACTTGGACTAGGCCATTCGCGAATGGACTAGCCTTCGCACTTGGCCCGCAACATATGCACTTCTCCGTTTGCTTCCACTATAAGCACAGTAGCAGTCGGCAAAGTCCCCTTTCTATAGTGTCTCGTAAACCTTATCACAGTGTACTTGATCTAAGATAGGGAAACAGTGACTTTAGTAGTAGCAGTAGCCTTCCCCTTCGGTACGGAAAGAGCCAGAAGCCACATTGTGCGAAATATGTTGAATACGCAGGACATTTGAGGACTGCTGTCCTCCTCGTGGTCAGAAATCGCTTCCACCTGTAGTCCAATCATTACGAGCAAGCGCAAAGCGAGTCATTTAAATATGACGGAAAAATCCCAGCATGAGCGACTCGGTCCAGATGCCCGTGAAGTTAGCCAACATTCAGCACGACAAAATTTGCAACGTGGAGCTATAGTCATACAAACTGGGTTGTAGGTCAATTCGAGCACGCTTGTGATGAATATCACCCTTAAAATTACTGCAAAAGAACGGAAATCCCCAGAAGGTTTTTTAAAAAATGACAGAGTGTACCCTTTTCCGGGAAAACGATGCATTCCACGGCATTGCAACAGGTCCCATATGAAAGAGCGCCCTAAAATGCAGGTGGGTCATCTTTCCGATTTTTAATTAAGGGGCCCTTGTCCCTTAAAAAATAAAACCAGTAAAACGCCTTATAGGGCGACAAACGAAGCGAGTGAGAGGGTGATCCTTGCACTTGCGAAATTGTGAGGGGTACCTCCATCTGACTTGTGCACGGCACCCTTCTAACCGGTCTTTAGCAATGTGCCTATTTTGAGCGCAATCGGCCAAGCCGTTCTCGAGATCTGGAAGCGGCACCCTGCACGTGCGCACGTGCAAAATGGGTCCTAACTGACTTTTGCACGGCACCCTACTAACCAGTCCCGAACCATGTAGGGGAGAGTGGGGTAAGATGCCCAGGGTGGGAAAGACGCCCCACCCCCTCTAGCGGGGAAACAAAGAATCGAACCTGGAAATTAATGTTCTTAGCGTAAAGCGGAAGCCTGCCTTGTTAACTGCACAAAAATTTGCGAAGCTCAGTTGGGCAACTGCTGGCTGGTGATTGCATGTTTTTTATTTGCTGCTTTCAAAAAATATTTTGGCGTCAAAACATTGTAAATATCAAAGAAGGTAGATAATTTTTGCGTCCCTTGCTATAGTCATGATACATTAACATGCGTGTACTGTGTCCCAAACAGTTTGTTTCAGGGTGTAGTTTTATGGCTAACAAATTGTGCTGATTTAATGTTACTTCGGTACCTTGGGGTAAGATGCCCCCTGTCCTGATGGGGAAAGACGCCCCCCTAAATCCGTAGGTTGTCCTTCAAGCAGCCCGTCAAATTTTTTATTACATAATTGTGATGAGAGACAAAAGCCGATCTGGGACTATTGAGAGTCCGGTACGGTCGGGTGCTCCCCATGCCGGTCTCTCGGCCCACACAGCGACTTTTTGGGCGGCATCTGACTCTGAGAGCCCTCACGACGGCCTCTGCGGGCCCCATTATTGGTTCCAGGGCCCCTCACGACATCCTTTGAGGGCTCCCACGTTGGCTCCACGGGCCGCGCTGGCATCTGAGGTCCCCACGATGGGCTCGAGAGCCCTCAAGCATCATGAAGACCTATAAGGGCCCCACAGTGGTCTCCAAACGCCACCACGAAGGCTTGTTTGGCCGCGCTGGACTAAGATGGCCCTAACGATGACCTCTGAAGCCCCTTACGACTACTTTTGAGGGCCCTTACGATGACGTTTGGTGTCTACTGCAGGCTCGAAGGGACTATTGATTCGTTCAGGCGATTCACGTGCCTATTTATGTCACTTTTAGTGCAGGGGGCATCTTACCCAACGCCAGGGGGCGTCTTTTCCACCCTGTGGGGTAAGATGCCCCCTTTCACTTCTTTAGGAAAATGCTTAATAGCAAAACAAGTTATCATATTTCAGGCACGAAAGTCTGATATTTTTGGAGAAAAATTATGTCGGCTTCCGTTGAAACTCCAAGTTTTGGCTTTCCGATCGTCATTTTCGAATAATATATGACATAGTCAAACCCTGGGCATCTTTCCCCAC